GACCATGGTCCAACGTAGTTACCCAATCAATTCTCGCTCGAGCGAAGTAACTCATCGCTTGAGCGAGAATTGACCACAGGCTAAACGTCCAACGCAGTTAGCCACATAACGCAACTTGGGTCACCACATATTTTAATCACTTCTCGCTCAAGCGAAAATACCCGTCGCTTGAGCGAGAATTGACCGGAGATTATCCCTTTGTTACAGATTTTCTCGCTCAAGCGAAGAGTTTCTTCGCTTGAGCGAGAATTGACCTGAGATTACCCCTTTGTTACAGATTTCCTCGTTCAAGCGAAGGGTTTCTTCGCTTGAGCGAGAGTTGATTGCGCGAAATAATCGATCATAATGTAAAATAATCGATTATTTTAATACGTGAACAGTAAAGAATGCTAGTTGTGTAAATAATATTTCAGATGTGCTATTTTGAGAAATATTTTTAAAAATAATATTATTTATGAAAAAAAGTCCCTAATTTATGGTCCAACCAGAACAAAATTGGGTTTAATAATAAATCGATTCCTAAACTTAATCTAGATAAAAATATAAATTTTTTTATTGATTTTTTAAAATTCAAAGAAGCTACAGACCAAATTATCTTTTGTTGAATGAAAGGTAAAAATCTATTTAATGTAGCAAGATCTTTATTATTTTCACAAAATCTCTCATTATTTCATGGGGAGAATATAACGTCTCTCTAGCTTACATAGTCAACATAATTATTTCAATAAGATTAATACACCAATCTTAGCATGAAAATTCTTATTTTTACCATAGATGACAAAGCAGCGGGTTTGACAAAATTGTCTTAAAATTGCAAAGCCTAATTAGTAATTTTAATCTCTCCTCTTGTTTTATCTTATTTAATTTAATTTATCAATTTGATAGGTTAAGACTAGCATAAAGAGGATAATTAAATATGTATATATGGCATCAATTTATCTATGTTAATTTGACGAAAAAAAAATCAAGAATGCGAGAACAATAATAAAATAAGTTCAAGTTTTTATAGTTTTAAAAAATTGAGGGTGAGAACCGGAAGATGTACTATAATCCTCATCCTAATTTTCGTCTTAAATCTAAATTTTAAAATATTAATATTTTTAAAGTATTTTTTTTATTATATATAAATGTCATTTTTTTATATTTTTTTATTTTTACTTTTTTTTTATCTATTTTTAATTCTTTTATCTTTTATATCAATTAATTCATTCCATTATTATCTTTACATTACTTTTTTTTCATATTTCCTTATTTTTTCATTAATTTATTTTTTCAAAACACAAAAGTTAATTTTTCTTCTTTTTTTATCTTTATCTAAATATTTTACATAAATCTTAGTAGTAACTAATATTATTTTATTTATAATTTATCTTTATTAAGTTTTATTATGTCATAAATCTTATTATTCTTATTTATCATATATCAAATTTTATCTTAATAAGATAATTATATTTTAAAGGATTAAAAATAATTAATAATTTAAACTATAATTACTTTAAACTAATTAAATAAGAATTAACTTATTAAATATTTTCTTATAAATTATATATTTCATATTTTTAACTGACAACTTAAACAAATTAACTTATATATAATCAAATGTTTAAATACAATATAATAATAATAATAATAATAATAATAATATTATTATAATAATAATAAGTATTTAATATATATATATAAAGAAAAAATAATTAAATATTTTTTTACATACATATTTTAATATAAATATAATAAATTAAAATATATATTTAATTAATAATAATTATAAATTGTAAAATTAGTTATGTATAAAAAGTAAATAAAATATTAAAATTAATATATTATAAGTATAATTATTTTTAAAAAATAATGTAAATCAGAAACGAGACAATATTGATAAACTCGAAATCTAACAAGAATCAGAACTTAATTTCTAATCTCGACGAAAATCGAAGACATAGTGAAAAAATCGAAACAACGTCATAGAAGCAAAACTCACCTTCTCTGGTGTCATTGTTATGACTAGAGAGTAGAATAATACCAACTCATTTTCTCACTAACTTTAAAAAAATATTTATATATTAAATTTTAAATAATTATAATATTACAAATTTTATGTTATATTATTGATATATATATATATATATATATATAATATTGAAATATTATAATTTAAATTATAAATATTAATTAATTCAATTTTAATTATTTTAATTAAGTATTTCAATATATAAATATAATTTTTTAAAATTTATATAATAAAAACATTAATTAATAAATAAAAATTTAAAAATTATTTATACGTGTTTTAAAAAATTAATATAAAAAAAATTTTGGCAGAAGTTGAAAATTAATTATCAGTTAATTTTATATATAAAATTTGTTTGTATTGTATTTCGGTATGAAAGTGTGAATGTTTTTTTTATAAATATTTTTTTCTTCTTATTCAATATTAGTCACCCATTCGTTTTTTTTTTCATAATGCATATCCTATATATTTTTTCTTTAATTATTTATTCAATAAAAATATTCTTAACTATTTAATAAATGGATCGTAACAGAATATTGAAAAATCAATAATAAAACAATATTTAATCAAAATATTTTTTATTTTTTTTAAATTACAAGTTTTAAAAATAATTTTCATATTACAGTTCATAGTTTTTATTAACAATAAACAGATTAAATGCTAGATTTTTTTACTCAATTTTTGTCCATGTAATGATGATATTTTGATTTTATTCTAGTTTTATATTCGAAATTAGGAATTTTATACGAGAGAATCAGTATATAAAATTAATTATTATATATAAAAAATATTATATAAAATATTTATCATTATATTTAACATTATTAATTGAATTTTATTTTATCATTTATCTTTTTTTTCTCTTAAAAAATAATTTATAATTTTCTTTTTAAATATATGAAAACTCAACCTTTAAATATCAAAATAGAACATTATAAAACATTAAAATAACTAATTAATCAATATTTGATATTTTTTACATTATAAAAGATTAAAATAACTAATTAATCAATTTTTGATATCTTTTAGTGTATAATGTGTTAAATAATAAATAAAAATAATAAATATTTTTTTTTACTTCAAAATAGTTAATGTGAGATGTTTTCTTTATTTTTTAAACCTATTATCTTATGTCTTTAATGTAAATAAAACACAAAAATAAAACTGAAACAAAAAATTATAATTTGTATGCTATTATAAAAGATAAAATTGAAAACAAGACAAAATGTCAAAACAAAAGAGAAAAATATGAAAATGAATAAATAACAATAAATTAAAAATGGAAAAAGACAAAATATGTATATGATAAAAAATTGAAGTGAATAAATGAAAAGATGAGAAAAGAAAAGATAAAAATATGAAGATAGAAGAAAAAAAAGATATAAGTAAAAAACTTTATAAAAGAAAAAAAATGATATTTATTACAAATGAAAATTAGGAAAATAAAATATAAATATTTAAATTTATTTATATTTATAAAATATTTTGTATTAAATTAAAAAAAATTATTATATATAAAAGCTATTAATAAAATTTTGGTGGAGGCAGTGACCATCAAAATTAGGGATGATTATTAAACTCGTACTTTCCGACTCGAATTTGACGGAACCAAATTGACCTAGGACTGGAGATAGGTATCGCCCTGTCCCCTTCCAATCCAAAATTTATATTTAAATTTAAATTTTAAGATATTAATATTTTTAAGGTCTTTCTTGTTTTTTTTTTCATTATATATAAGATTATTTTTTTATATTTTATCATTTTTATTTCTCTTATACCCAAATTTTAATTCTTTTATATTTTTTAATTTTTTATATCAATTAATTCATTCCGTTATTTTTCTCTCGTACCATTCATATTTCTTTTATCTCTCAACTCAATTTGTTCTTTTTAATCTTTCCAATCAATTTGATAAAGACAAATTGATTTTTTTTCTTCGTTGTATTTTTTCTAAATATTTTATATAAACCTTATTAATAACTAATATTATTTTATTTATAATATATTTTTATTAAATTTTATTATGTCATATTTTTTGGATTTTATTATTTTTATTTAATATATATCAAATTTTATCTTAATAAAATAATTATATTTTAAAAGATTAAAAAGAATGGATAATTTAAAATTTTTATTATTTTGAACTAAGTAAATTAAAATTAACTTATTAAATATTTTCTTATATATTATATATTTTATATTTTTAAATAAAAATATAAAAAAGATTTATTTATATGTATAATAAAATATTTGAATAAAAATATAATAATAATAATAATAATAATAATAATAATGTTATAAATATTTAAAAAGTATTCAAATTTTTTTATATCCATATTTTTATATAAATAAATAAATTAAAAAATGTATTTAATTAATAATAATTATAAATATAAAAACTAAATAAAAATATTAAAATTGATTTATTAGAAGTACAACTAATTTTTTACAAATAATGTAGATGATGTACGTGATATGAAGGTGAAAAAACTCGAAAGCAAATCAGAATGAAGATTTAATTTTTAATCTTAATGAAAAACAAAAACAGAGTCAGGATAGTTAAAAAAACCGGGACGGAACCTGCCCCACCCGCGAAACGTCAGGATAAAGAACACACAGAAAAGGCTGAGAATTTTTTATTTTTTTTCAACTTAAGAATTTATAATCCTAAAATGTGAATTCTTGAAAAAATTAAAATCTAAAATGCAACTATTAAACATGTTTAAAATTATATTTGTTAAGATTTGTTACTTTTAGAAATACTTTTTAAAATTTTAAATAATTAAAATAATAAATAACACTAAATAGAAGTCACAGTGAAGGTAAAAAATAACATAAATGCAAGAAGCTAACTCTACAAATTTAAGCTTGACATGTACATATCTTCTTGTTCGCAGTGCTGTCGACTGTTGCCAGGGTATTAATATGCGCAGGACAGGTTACCATGCTGGAATGTTTGCTGTGTGTGGCAGTCTATATACCAAAAATTTTACACCGGACAGTCTACCAAAATGTTACTTTCTGCACCAACTATCCATTCACAAATGATAGTATTCACTCGTTCTGGCACCTCGTCGTGCGGACAATGACCTGTAAATGTCAAGAAAAAAATGGGTCAATTTGAAACAAAGCCCAAGAACTTGTTATATGAAAGTACAAGTATAAAAAACTCTAACTACCAGCATCTAACTCCTTAATTATGACTCCATCACAATGTTCTTTAAGCATAGCCACTTTGGAATTGGAGTCAGAAATTGGATCTTTCATCCCCTAACAACATGGAAATAACACTATATGAGTATCAGATCAAAACATATTAATCCATCCCTTTTTTCCATAAAACTTCATATCCATGTTATAATACCTGTATAATTAGGACCTTTTCCTTGATATCTTCAAGAAGAAAGTTGACTGGTATGGAAAGATTAAAGCTAAATATGCTTTCCAACACAGCAAGCACACCAGGATCATATGACTTTTAATATGTAAAGGAGGTGTAAAAAAGAAATATGTCTATCAGAAAGTGAAACTTGCTGATGCAATACAGATATTTAGATCTAAAAGTAGAGGATACTGCTCTTAGTATTTCATTTATGAGCCGATCATCTGCTCTTTCAACCCTCTGCAAAGCAAACATAATCAGCCACCATCAAAACAAATGTATAACAAATATGAGATTTGAAAATTAGCAACAAAAATTACACTTACAGTTGGATAACATTTCTTAAGTAACTCTTGAGTTCTTAGCCTCAAGTAGAATAGAAGAATGCGGGAACCCAACCAGGAAGCCCCGGAAGTTTGCCTATCCTGAATCTTTGTAAGTACAGAAAAACAAAAAATTTAAATAGAACAAATTAATTATGTTGTTCTCACAATAAAACAACGTCAAACAATGGCAATAAATTTTTGAAGAAATTAACAAAACCCAACTTTTAAGATTTATTTAGGACTATATTATGCACTTTTAGATGCTTGTATCTATTCTAGAAAACTATCCACCCATGGTACATTTCCAGTGAAGACTAAATATTTTAAGATCTAGGGATCTGATTTTTAATGCAGGGAATACACAAATGATGATACATTACGTATAATGGAAACATTTGCACGGTTCTAACAAGCAGGTGTATCACACGTCAATGGCAGCAAAAGTTTACAATGACAAGAAGAAACAAATGCCGTTTGTCAGGCATAGCCAATAGAAGAAACATATTATCTTACAAATGTTGTATGAACTTGAGTTGTTCTCTGTTACACTTACTCTAGACAATGGAATGAATGAATAACTTGGGATGACATTGCCCGCACTGTTGATCAAAACAAGGGATTTGATCAAATCACTCCAAATACCAGCAACAATAGCAACAAGATAACCTAAAGTAGGGAATAGTAATTATTAAATTATCAAAACAGAAACAAGAATAAACAGGTAAAATATATATATATATATATATATATATATATATATATATATATATATATATATATATATATATATATATATATATATATATACAGGAACCAAGGTTACTGCATATGTGTGAAAAAGACATTTTTTTGTGCCAACAAGTCATACCGCCAATTGAGTTGCCGACAATATGAACTGGTTCACCCACAACATCAACAATAAAATCTCTTAATAGCTCAGCCCACAAAACTTCACTATATACAACATTTGGCTTTTCTGATTTGCCAAATCCTAAAATAGTAATTGCCCAAACTCGATTTCCAGATTCAGCTAAACCATGTATGTTGTCACGGTAATGCCCCCAAAAGGCACCAAATCCATGCACAAGAAGAACCGCAGGACCATCTTCACCAGCAACTGTATACTGAGAAAATCGATGTAAACAAGGAATTAGATGGCTCTTGCTAAGTGGACTTCATGTGAAATCAAATATTGACAATGAGTCAATTAATTAATACCTCGATAAGAAATCCTTTCCATTTCCATATCCGTGTTGAGTATACTCCGTCATTGTTTATCTGATTTCTCAAAGCCATAAGCCAATACCACTATCACACCACAAAAATATAAAAAAAAAAATCATTTTGATAAAAGAAGAAAAGAAAAAGGTCATGGCAAGTACCCTAGCATTACAGATAAGACAACCAAATCAACAAGGCGCATAACAACTTTGTAGTCAAACAAGGCATAACAGAAACAACTAGCACCTCCATTGAGCACACAGCATCAACTGCTGCTGCAATTGTGGCAGCTGAATATCCGAAGGGTGACAAGAAACCTGCGTTTCGTTCTCGCTCATATTTGATGGCTTCATAATATACTCTTCTTCTAGATATAATGCCGAGAGATAGGGCAGGACCGAATAGTCCAATAAATGACGCTCCATTCCGACTTTCAGAAGCACGCACTTTTTCATGTACCCTGCACAAATTTCAGTACATTTCGTGACATGTAAGTTTATATTAAGACTTCAACAACAAAAGTTTAGAAACTTAGTGAATGAAACCAAGATTAAATGACTATCATAGAGATCATTCAGAAAGAACACCTTGTGAGTGTTAATGAATTAATCATTTAGGAGGAACACACCAAAATAGTAACGGACGAACATTTCTGCATCTGAGGTAAACACAGCTATGCACAACAACACTTCTTATCCCATCTTACTATACAGGGAAACAGAATGTAATAAAAGAATAGATGAAATGCTTACAATACACTGAAACAGAAATAGAAAACCAAAAAGGGGAAATATTATGAATCTGTTTATAATTAAGAACATGTTTTCCTTTAAATGAAAAGAATAATGATTCAAACTATAAAAAATTACTCTCAGTCTCCTTACTTTCAAGAAATTTACCAAAAAACAAAAACTGCAAAAGGTAAGTTGTCTACGTACTCTTGCCAGTCATCACGAGCTGTTCCCTCCAAGTATCTCAGATATGCAGCCAATGCATTCAGTACATTGTTTGTACTACCTCCTACGACATTTCCTTCTTTTGTAACAAAGACAGATCCACTACGCTCCCTTGACTGTGTTTGCCCAAAGCTAGAATTTCTTTCAATGCTATCGCCAGACTTCAATACTTTTCTACGTAAATCTGTTTCAGCTGAGGCCTCCTTAATTGAACTCCAATTCTCTCCTGATTTACGATGGCTGCTGGTCATAAATCCCTTTATATCATCATACGAGGGGAGAACACCTAATTCAATGAACAATTATTGCATAACTTTTGGCAACATTATAAAGTACAGGAAATTAAATGAATTAAAAAAAAAAAAAACCATATCCAGTGAAAAGAATAATAATAACAAACAAAGCATCCTGAAAAGAAATCTATCCACCACGGAACTCACCCCAGTCCAGTTCTATTTCTGCACCAGGTAATGTCGACTCTGACGGCTGAAGTGGTGTAGTCACAGGAAGTCGAAGTTTCTTAAACTCATTATATGATGAAGGAAGATTTTGCACATCCTATGCAACAGTAACAAAAACAACTCAATCAAGTTCAAACACGACAGGATTACTCAAAATTCAAAACAATCACCACAGTGACGTGAGTTCAACATTTTGCAGATCCTATGTAATAGAAATAGTAATAGTAATCTATAGTAACAGTAACAGTGATAATTATACAGTCAAAATGACGGAATTACTCAAAAATCAAAACAATCACCTAAGTACCTTGAGCTCAACTTTTACATAATCAACTCAACCAAGTCAAATTTTCTAAGGTTTCGTAGCAAACACAGTTAATTAGTCTCTAACAATCTACCACGTACCTTAACATCATAAAATGGAGTTTCCCATAATTCAATCGTAGGACTCCCTTGCGGAACTGTGACGGACTTCAAACGCTGTTTGAGCAAATCTATGATGAGGCGCAGCTCATACTCCACCTCTTGTTCCGCGAACACACAAGTGGCTTTGACCTGTTCCGTCCTGAGCGATGAATTTACTAAAGAAAAGGAATGGCATGAAGATGCATCATAAACTAAGCGAGCAAACGCTAACTAACAAAGCAACAACCTCCGTTGCAAGTTTCTGTATGATGCTGTCCGCATTGCCGAAACGGATCATCAAATCGGAACCGCGATCCTTAAGCGACTTCCTCAAATCTTGCAAGGCAAGCAGAAGCAGCTCCAGCGTCTCATCGGAGAAACCTGCAACGCGAAATAATTTCCGCAGTAATATTAGAATGCGTCATTGAGTTAACTGACACAAATCGCAGCAGCGCATTAAATTCGGTTACTCACGGGAAATAATGCGGTGATCGAAGACGTAAATAGGAAGGAGTGAAGGAAAGGTGGAGGCAGCAAGGAGCGCGGGGTGGTCATCGGTTCGGAGATCGTGCTTGAACCACAGAATGGCTGTTCCGGTTGATTTCATGGAGCAGTAGCGTCGTGTTCGAGAGAAAGAGCGGGTGTTTGGGAAGGAAGAAAGCGACGGAAAATGAGTCAAGTGAGGGAAAGTGAGGAGAGCCATGGCACAAGGCAAATGGAAAAAGATGCAGAGAGGAGTGACCACACTTGATTAAATAATATTATTGTTAAATTGAACTTTGAAAAAAAAAAAAGAAAAAGGAAAGATGTGTCGTGGGTGTGCATCCAGGTTTTTTGTGAACATTATATGGATTGAAATTTTGTTGACCATAATAAATCCAAAACCAAAGGACGCTCTGCTACCACTAACATGTTGTGTACGGGTAATTTCCATAGAACTTCCAACTAAAATTTCCAATCACTCATTCCTTCTGTTATGTGGGACCAGCATATTTAGCATCCCAAAATTACAATAAAAAAAAATGGAATGTAAATATATCCTTCAATATACGACTAACTATATAAATTATTAAATGATTTTTACATAATATATCTATAACTATATATAAAAATAATTTTTAATGTTTTTTATATTATCGTAAAAAATATCATACTTTAAGAAAAAATAACTATTATGATTTAAAAATAGTAAAAATATGATAAAAAAATATAATATAATTATTAAATAAAAGGGTGAATATATTTTAAAAATAAAAATAAAAATAAAATAAAATTTTTAAAAATATAAATCACATGTTTTAAAAGCTTACACAGTATTATTTTTTTAAATTTTTATTTCAAGAAGAAAAAGAATAAGAATAATAGTGGACCATTTTTCGACAACCAGATTCGCCATTTAGTTTGTTTGAGATAAAATCAGGTTAAATTTTATACTTTAAATCAGTCCTAAAATCAGAAAAACGATAAAATTGAGATTGAGAGATTCAAACGCTGGCTCTGAAGATATATGTTTTTTTTGTGTGTATATATACTTACTTTTATTAGATATTCTGACTTATAATAATTACTTTTTATAAACTTATATATTATATTCGTTTATTAATATTATTTCATATATTTATTATTATATTTAAAAATTAAAATTAAATTATTTTATGTGGTTAAAATTTTAAACCTTAAATATTTGTTTTTATTGGTAATTTGAAAATCTTTGAAAATAAATAACATTTAGACATAATGTGATAGCTCTATAACATTTATTTATTAAAAAAAATAATATCATTAGCATATACTGTTATAACAGTTTCCCTTCTCATTATTATTTTCATTAAAATTTATATGTAAATATTTTTACATAAACTTATATCATTGGGATACAATTATCATCCAAGAAACAAGTGTAAGAATTAAAAAGAAAACTATATTTTTAATAAGTATATAATTGAATATCACAATTAATAGAGTATTAAAGTAGCATACACGCGTTTAAAAAAAAAAATCCTATCACGGTTCCATGTATAATTTTGTATGTGTTACAATATTTCAAGAGTTGATTACATGCGAAGATAAATTGACTATTTTACTTGAAATTTATTACAATTAAAAAATTCATATAAAAATACGTGCAATTTAATTAAATTATAATAAGGGACATAATATTGAATTTTAGGAATTATTGCATGCTAATGTTAATATAAACTACGAGAGCCCGTGGCTTTGTTTTGAAACTGTTCCGGATTCGCAGTAACTGTGGTCGAATTACTCTGAAGATGTTTTGCTCTTTTCACGACCAACCAGTGAGAAGGTTGGATGTAAACAGCAATGACTGTGACAGTATAAAACCTGTGTCTAGGGTTTCTTCTTCTTCTTCTTCTTCTAGTTCTGGCCATGCGCGCAAAATCCAATCATCGTGCCTTGTCTGCTTGTCTTCTCCTTGCAAGAAAGATCCTGTCACTGCCTCTCAGATGCCCGTTTCGTCTTTTTCCTCTCTCAGTGATGCCGATTACCCTCCTGACACGGTTTCTGTGGATGATGAGGTCTTTTGTGGACCCGTTCCTTCTCCCACTGAGATTCAAACTGCTCTCACTTCACTTACACAGTAAGCAATTTTTTTGGCGTAATCATTTGTTCAGCAGATTATACTGATACTCGTGAGTTTTCTTGAAATTGCACATGATCGTGATCACTTGGTTACAGCAAATTTTGAAAATAAAACACACTGTGATCTCTTCTCTGGTATGGTATAATAGAGTCTATTAGTGCAATGTATTTCAATCAATTAAGGGCCAAGAATATCTAAAAAGGGGTAATGGAGAAAAATGATGATATAAGTGTAATTTACTGTTATTTGTTCAATTGCAATCCATGCCAAATTATGGTTTATCTGGCAAATTTGCAGAATTGATACTTTCTTTTTACTATTGTAGATATTTAATTTTTTTTTTTAATTATTCATTTTATTCATATGCCGAGTAATGTTTGTATTTTGGTTTTTATGCTTAAAAGATTATCCGATTTAGACTATAATTTTGTACGAATACTATGATAGATTAAAATTTGAAGGGGGAAGAACTGACATGATGATTATGGTGATATAGACCAAGTGAATAATAAAAACTTAATTTCAACATAAAAAACATAATAAAAATTGTCTTTTATTTATTATTTTCTACCTTGAAAATATTTTATTCTTTTAAATTCAATTTAACGTGCAGGATCTTTGGGTCTTCTTCACCTGTCCAGCATGCTAAGAACACATATTATTACCAATTGGACAGTGAAGTAGGTCATGGCACAGATGCTTCTTTAGTTGATCAAGTTTGTTCAGATCTATCTGAGACAGACTGGAAAGAACCCTCTCTCTGTTCATATAATCCAAGCATGTTACAAGCTGATGTTTCTGATAGAGCTTCTTTTGCAATCCATTTATTGCAGAATGATGCATGTGTTCAGGTGTAGTTTATGATAATAAAGAAACTCAGATGATTGTGTAGAATTATGAATAAGATTTTAATTACCATATTTTAGTTCTTGAATTCGTAGGACCATTTTGATTTGCGTACAGAATTATTAAACAGTAGATGTTTGTGTGTTATGATGACAAGTCTTTTTGCCATTCCCTTGCAAGGTCTTAGAGCCTCTTTTAATGTTACACTCAAGACATTAAAGTCATTGAGTAAAGAGCATTTTAATTAATTAATGCAGGTATAAAAAAATTGTTTGTCTTACTGCAGAGGATGGTAAAATCATTATCATCAGATAAATCTGTGTGGGATGCTGTACGGCAGAATGAAGCCATACAGGAGCTAAGGAACGCCCTAAAAGCAGGTTGGTTTTTAAGCATTGCTGCATACTGAAAATAAATCCCCGAGGGGAATTTTATTACAATTTATTTATAATAGACTATTAGGGTTAGGGATTAAGGTTTAGAGTTTGTTAATAACTAGAAACATGATATCTTGTTGTAGAAAACATGATTTTATTCTTATTTTTGTCACATGTTAGACGTGTCATGTCACTGTGACACTTCCCACATTTATATAGGTAATTTTGATTAATTTGGAGTTGAAATTTGCAGAAAGAGATGAGAGCTCAGATGGAACAGTTGCCAGTGACTCCCCCGACACAAGAAATGTTATAATGCGGATGTCTGATGCTGTAAAAGCCAAACTCATGGAAGCAATTGAGAATATTACCAAGATTGTGAAGAAATTGTTTCAAAGTGCACATCACAGGCAAGCTGAATATGCAGGAAAATCTAATTCATCAAAAATGAAGTTGAGAGTTTCTGTCATGCTTTCCATAATGATCTTCCTATTTGTGGTGGTGGATCGTATCTATTAATCTAATTCATTTAATGAGAAGCTAATCCACGGGATAGTTCAACAAAGTGATGACAGTTTCCTTTGATTCTCTGGCGTTATTTTCTGTGGCAAGACCTTGGGATTGGGATGTTTAACTTTTTGCTTCTATTTTGACAAAAAAAAAAAAAAAACGGAGTAAAAGGTGTTTTTACAATCCATATGCGAGACTGTTTACAGTTATATCATACGCTTGTTTTGATGTGACCTTAATTAGATTGGCTTTGTTTTCTGTACATGTTAAGTAAAATTGTTTTGATTGAAAAATATTCCTTCTAAGCTTAAAGTTACCTATTCAGCATAACTAGTGTGGTTGCCTAGAGTGGGCTTTGATGTTACAATACAAGTGAACTATCCCCTCCACTTAATAATTATCACAAGATAAAAGTGTATCACAGTCTGCATACAATTAAATATAAGAAGTTGTAGTTAAATAATATGCTAGAGAGAGACTCATGGAACAGGATTGGGATTTACTATGACTTATAATTTCTAATAAATAGTAGTTAAGATATCTTAGTCAATGGTAGAATGTGCTTAAAGTAGTTATGGCTAGCAATTTTTTGTCACAAGCAAATCCATTGAAGCAAGTGAAATATTATCCATACTTGTCAACGACTATTTTGTCAGAATCAAATATTGTAACCAAGCAATGACAAAAAAAAGCTGTTCAATTTTCCGCTTGATATTTCATCAGTCAAATGCTAGTTATAGTATCCAATTTGCACTTGCCCTACACATAAGGCAAATGAATTTTTGATCACGTATTCACATAAGGCAAAAAGGTACTGTACTATCCCTACACATGGTGGATTAGTTATTTTTGCCTTTGAGTATTTGTCAGATCAATTGAATCAAGATCAGGAACTATAACAACCTTTTTGCTAATCTCTCCAAGATTGCAGATATTTTTCTGTGCATTGTTCACAGCTACAACATCTTGAGCAAATTTACAATCTGTACCTGGAGACACCTGTAAGAGAAGAAAACATTGCATGTACAATAATTTTAGTTACAAAGAAAAAGAACTAAAATATTGAATAATTTTTTCCCCAAATCTACTACTAACAACATAATCTGCAATTTTAAAAATGGAAATGGACAAGTAGCAAAGGGTGTCTTTAATTTCAAACATGTGGGGTGGGCAAAAAGAAAACCATTATCAGTGTCTTACATCGAACACAGTTTCTCCCAATTTCAGTTTGACGGCTCCACTCTTGTACACCTGCATTTTGCCCATATATCCCCTTGGCAACTCTTCTAAAGCACCAGCCTTTCCCGATACTGTTGATGCACCAATTTCCTCCTTCCCCTTATTACTCTTCTCGTTAAAAGGCATATATTTAGGAAGCTGGAACAGAAACATCTTTGGTTGCTCACTCTGCTCCTGTTAAAAAATTATCTGAGCATTATTATGTCCGTTTCAGCTGTATAATTTGTTATATTTCTTGATGACTACTAACCAAGAGCTCGAGTTCTGCAGCAGAATTAACAGTATTCTCATCATACTCAGAACTAGCAGCTTCCCCAAATTCTTCCTCATCAAGAATTTCTACCAGATTAAAATGTCACGTGACAATGTTTAAAAAAGCATTCTCTGGAGACTTCTACTATATATATACCTTCTAGTTCATGAATATTAATTCTATTGATATATCATTTGATGATGTATATTAGAGCAAACCTGGATTTCCAGAATTTGGCTTCCTTAGAGGAAGAGTAATGGGATAACAAGAGTTGTTATAATCCTGTAGGTAAATGTTCAATTGCTTAGATGCTTGAGAAAGATAGAGATAACAACAAAATAGATGACAGTGACCACAATTTCTCACCCATGGTTCCTTGTACTTTCCTTTGATTTTCCTGGCTGATGCATTGGTGGTATCCTCAGTAACATCTATCGTGCTGGTATCATTTTGATCCTCAGTAGCAGCAGAAGAACGTCTTGAACGAATTTGCTCTTTACCCAAATATTTAGATGGCGAGCCACTGTTTGTGGTACCATCTATAGCTTTGCTTGTGCCAAATGTCCTGAGGGAGGTTGATGAAATCCCAGGACTAAATGCAACTTCCACGCTAGCTGCAAGTTTTAAACACCGAAATTAAGCAGCAAATAAAATAAGTTTTAAACCCTAAATCATTAACCACAAAGATTTCCTAAAAGCAATTAAACTATCAGGAAAGATTGATTGATAATGTTCTACAATGTCATTTGGCATGTAATGTAAGGTTAAACTAACGACAATTTACATTTTCTTTCGACTTTAATCTCGCGTCTTGCATGATTCTCCTGCAAACGTAGAAAAATAAATAAATTAGTGACACTTTAAGGGAATTAAAATGGACAACTAAAAGGAAAAAAAAAAAAAGCTTAATACAGTGGCAATTTTTGAAGAGAAAGTAAAAGAATAAGGAAAAAGAATTGACTTCTTGATTTTTTTCTTTGATCTTTCAATTCAAAATTTCAACTTTTATTTCCTTTCCTTCATCCCAAGCACATCGCATGTATTTTTGGTACTGGTTATTATTTGAAAAGAAAAATAAAAAAGACTTCTTTTATTTTAAAAGTTCTCTCTTTAAACTTTATTATACACTATTTTGAATGCACAATGTTATACTGAATATAAAATATATTATATACACACATGTCAGAGCAGCGAACAAAAAAATGGCAAGATTGTTAACCTTTGAAATTAATTATTTAAACTCTTCACTAAGCACCACTATTTGAAAAAGTTGTAGTTAAAGAAGACAACTAGTTTTGACTAAAGAATTCGCGTTTAGAAACATTCAGAATTTTATTACAATCTTCTTCTTACTATTAATATTATTTTGATTTTCAACCCAAGTTTAGAATAAATCACAGATGAAAAATTAGATCACAGTAACGAACAGTGGAAAGATGAGGATTGAAGAGAGACTTACGTATCGACGAGACAGAAGTCGAGCTGGTGTGCAATCTTCGTCTTGTTTATCGTCCGCTTCTCTGCATCTAAGCAATTTCCTTATACAATCAGAGAACAACGTTTGGAATATTCAAGGGTACGAGGAATTCAAAGTGAGTTTGTCGAATTACGATTTGGGAGCTTGGGGTTTGGGCGGCCGGGGAGTGTACTTGTGCTGAACAACACACAACAAACATCAATTAATTTCGACTCAAACATTCAGAGAAATGAGGGATTTTTGGTGTATGTGAGTACCTTCCTCGTTCTTCTGGAGCTCTGATCTGGATCCATGGCGTTGCAGTTCAAGAAGACCAAGAACAAAAGATGAACTCAAAAATTTAACAATTTCGGCAGAAAAAGTGTTTCGAACCCGCGCCCTAAATGAAAATGTTTTCGACCCAACCACTATACTCATGTAACGATTTATGTCCTCCGGTTCCAATTTATAGTATACTGCTGTTTTAACGACGAAAATACGAATTTAAATAGGCTTTCATCAGATGAAATTAATTTATACGTTATAAGCTCTCATAATTTTCTGATTTTATTTTTAATTTATAATAAATTAAAATTTATCTTATATAAAAATGATTATTTTTTTCAAATTTATCTCTTTTAGAATATTTTTCATAAAAATGTTATTTTAATATAATTTCATATACATTAGTTACTTAATTTAAGAGAATTGGTTATATAAACTACATTTATAAAATTAACACTTACATAAACTCAAATGTTCTACTTTGAACATATTATTATATAAAGTCTGATGGTAAAATTGATTTATAGTTAAATTAACAAAAAAATAATTTTTAAAAAGTTACTACCGTGTTTTTTTTAATGAGATTACAAAATTATTTAAATTTTCTTCTTATTTTATTCTGTTAAATATTAGGAGGTAAATTTCTTAGACGTTGAATAGTTAACCCCTTATAAATAGATGAAAATGTATTATCAATATTTTTATACAAATCTGCATTTCAATATTACGGAAAATGTTCTCTGTGAATTTATATAAAAACTCTCTAATTCAATGTCTTTTTTGGTATTATTTAGTTTTTTATATTACAAAAATCAAAATGAAATGTTCTACGAGTTATTCCACTCAGCTAATTCTATGTTAAGAATAATTTGTAAAGTTACCTATAAAGTAACACAATGAGTTTCCGTTCTACAATTAAAAATAAAAATAGAGAAAATCCACGTGCCTTTATATCTGAATTTCTCTTTTCAACTACAGTATGTAGTGAAATAACTTCTACGTATTCCTTTACTTTCTTATTTTTTTTTTCCCTGTTAGATTAAGTTGTACAAACACTATTACAATTAATCTATTCGGATGATTTATCTGAAGAGATTGTATGTAAACATTACTTCTATGAAAAGGAAAATACTAGGAATAAACATAATACAGCTCATCCTTTTGTTAGTTACACGAGAAAGAAAAACATCAAATTATTCTTTAAAGAAGTCAATGTAGTAATTGATTGTCGCAAAAGGGTAAGTCTCTACTTAAAAAATTAATGTCAAATTTAATGTGGAATTTTTTCTCACATTTATTATTTGGTTATATCTAAAAAAAGTTGCCTCGGAACAGGTGTGTTCATGAATAAACAAAAAAATAATAGCCTGAGTCATAATTTCAGCTATTTCTCATCTATTATATCTAAAAATAGTGTTAATAGTAAAACCACCACCATTTTTCATCTATTTCCACTCAGCTCTCTATTGCTCTATTTTACTTCTCGCTCATCTTTATTATTTTCATCCATCCAATTTCTATTTTATAACTTTTTTCATTAACAACGTCAACATAAAAAACAAATGGATTCACACACTGCAAGAACTATAACCAAAATGTCCTGAATTTACTCGATGCGACGACAATACTCAACACCAAATAGAATTGCTAGAGCACAACTATAAACCCCCAATATCGAACGCACACGGCAGCAAATTATGATGAAATTGCCCATATAACGAGAATTATCAGCCGAAACAACATGCATGTTTTCAACTTGGACTAACCTGAGTGAAAAGAAGACTGTCTTTCTAACTGAATGACACAAATAGAATAACTAAATCACAGACTTAAAATAGATTGCAATTATAGATTATCGGATTACTCCTGGCTTCAGAAAAATGTGGGTTAGAGGAAAACCATAACAGTAGTTTAAAGAATCTTTCCAGCGCTTAATTCGTCTATCTAAACTAACTACGTTCTAAGGATCTTACGGCCTTAATAGATTCCAGAAAAAAATAAAAATACTTCCCATTTGTTATCAAACCACGTAAACAGCATATCCACTATTAAATAACGGTCATACTAATAATAGTTTTTTGGGCAAACAGCGACTAACAAAGGCACATCAGCAAACTAGAAAGATTAGTGGATTTGATTGATGGCCATGACCTAATATTGCATAGTCGAGCTAGAAAATTTTATATATCCCTAGTGACAATACAAAGATGTTTTAATTCAAAAAGTCAGATATGAAGGAGAATATAGAAAATTTCTACAACAATTCTTTGATCATTTACTCTATCTTCGCCCAGCAACAGAGCTAAACGAAGCATGTGCAGACAACTCAAACACTATCATTTTCACCTCAGCCTTCACCTTATGCCAAATAATATTGGCCGTGTCAACTGGACCACATGATCACTTCAGAAACAAATGAGAAACTTGATAATTGCCTGTGTCATGATACAAGAACTTGGTGTTGATAACACCCATGTCAGCTAAACTTTTAATTTGAGGCAAAAAATGTAACGATGCCAAAGTCTGGCATTTATCATGCCAGGAACAGAAAAACGTTTCAACTCTTATACCTGTCACACTTGGAAATGTTAAATACATTTTATAGTTGCATGATCAAACCATTTAATAAAAAAAATCTTTTTCTACCAACCCAGAATGCCTAAAGCAATTGGCAAGGTTTGATTACCTTCGTGATCAGAGATGTATGATTAAAGGCATCTAAAACGCAGCTTCAGCACCAAGCGATTAACAGAACTATAGTCCCCAAACAAAAAAATTTAAGCTCATCACCAAAACTATAAATAAGTTAGAATCAGTTGTGAATGAACTAAAAATATAGAATAACTGAATGTGACAACAGAAAAGTATCAACATGAAACACCAGGAACCAGCTGCCATAAAAGTTCAAACAAACTTTCAAAAGGAAACATTAGCAACCAGACAATACTGTGTAAATCAATAAAATGCCACAGAAAATAATTCAGACAGTATTAAGTCCTACACGACAAGAAATGATTAATAATAATCATAATTTTTTAAGATGCTTTTGACTTCTGCCGTATGAAGACTGCTATCAACTTCTAGCCCGAATCTCTGCAAATTTCATAACAGTACAGCAAGGTTAAAGAAGTGAGTCCCAAACTTCGAAGAAAGACATGGCAAGAGGTTAAGAAATCAGGTTCACAAGAGCTCCAAGAAACATCAGGCCTGTCACAACGTTACATCATAAAACAATGAAGAGTTAAGAGAGGTAAAATCAATGAAGAGTTAAGAGAGGTAAAATCGTGATGAAATATCAAATAAACATGCAAAAGGCATTTGTTGATTTTATGCATGATTACAAAGCTTGAGTATGGACACCATCATCAAGAAGCATGACAATAGACCTTTGAAAATGATAAAAGGAATTTACTTATGTAATAAGCAAACCGATGCATTCAAACATACACATTACCGTGGGATAAACCAATTAGCCAACACATAAAAGACAACAGAGGTTTCTTGCTTTTTAATTCATACCAAGATGCGGCTTTTAGTTTCTGCTCCAACGCACCAAAAAATTATGAAGGAGACCAGACACCATCACATTCATACATGAGCTGGAGAAAATAAATCCAAGAAAGCTTTTGTGCAGATATCAAATACTTACAAAGTCATATACCAGTTTGCCCTTTCTTCTGTAAGGGCCCTTCAGTCATACAGAAAATAAGGTAGAACTTATGTGCAAGAAAGTTAACAAAGAACATTGAATACACAACTATTTCATATGGCTAAAATATCTTTATTTGTGGGGTCAGTTGGTAGTGGAGAAGCTTTATCAGCCAGAAGAAAAATAAACTACAGGGAAAATGGATACATGAAATTAAGAAACCATCGGAAGGTTAAAAAATCTCAACTTGCTAACGACGCGCTAATGAAACAAGATGTGCACAGCAAACTCAATAATCATCAACTTGCAGATGAAAATCCCAACTTGAATGAGGGAATACAGCATTTATCTATGAACGTGGGCACGTAAAAGTTAATTCTAAAAGCAATGATGTATTAGGAAGGAGCCAAATTAAAAAATATTCCCTGGTCCCACCTGTCTACAACTAGAAGAATGACAGAAAGGCTCATGATTTTGGTGGGATGCTCATCTGCTGAAATATGACTTTTGAATAGATACTTCCAAGGTGATAATTTCTTTTTAAGGAACAAATTACGAATCTAATCTCAGACAATTCTAAATAGCTAGTGAAACCAACAATTCTATAAAGGACCCATATTTCAAAATAGAAAAGTTTAAGCCTTATTTCAGTTACGAAAACAAATCAGGAATTGAATGCTAAATCATGTCAAAATAAAACATGTATATGAACTGTCAAACACAAATGAAATCAAGATCACAAACGCACCTTTTGGAAAACGGAAACACTATTGAACAAAATCATTTCATCTCTGCCATGAACTTCTCATACTCTGAGTCAGCGGCATATGAAGTCTTCTCAGCTGATGAAGGTGGAGGAGGCACTGGCGGATTTGTGGACCTAGGCACGTTTCCAATGCCATGGGACTGATCTGTACCATATGTAGTCTTGTCTGCGGATGAAGCAGGTGGTGGAACAAGGGAGTTATTGGCCCAAGGCACATTTGCAATGTTGTGGGATTGGTCTGAAGTTGAAACAGGAATGGGGCCAGGAGGGGGAGGGGGAGGAGGAACTGCATTATAGTAAGGTGGATATCCATAAGATGCAGGATATGTAGGTTGCGCTGCAGGTGGCATTGAAGGTACCGAGTTACCATATACATTGACTGCTACAGATTGAGTTGAGGTACTATTGTCAGACTGCACTCCGGGTGGGTAACTCTGCTGCACTTCACTAGAAGTTGCAGGCTGGGACGGGGCACCGGGAGGGCCAGCCTGCACAGGAGGAGGATATTGAACGCCATAAGGAGGCATAGGTTGACCTGGCATAGATGGATACATAGTTGACCCAGGTGGAGGAGGAGCAAAAGGAGCATATGGAGGAGGAACAGGGGGTCCCCATGGCACTGGGGTACCACCGTAACTCCCAGGAGGAGCAGTCCCAAGGGGGCCACCGGCAGCATACTGTTGGGATGGATAAGCACCGAGTGGTTGGCTTGGAACAGGATATGTGGGCACAGCAGATGTTGGTGGGCCAGGAGGTACAACAGGCTGAGGAGGCTTACCAGCAACTCTCACTGCAATTGTTCGACCCTCAAGGCGATAACCGTTCATGGCCAATATTGCATTGTTTGCCATTGTGATATCAGTATACTTCACAAAACCGTATCCTTTACTTAAACCCGACATTCGATCCTTGATCACTTTTGCCATAACAATCTCTCCAAATTGTTGAAATAACTGGATTAGGCCATCATCATCAAGACTGGGCGGCAAATATCCTATGTACAAATTTGTATCATCGATTTCTTTTTTAACTGCAGCAGCACCTAAGCCAGCCTGAGGCAAACCACCAGCCGTAGCGGAATTGTTAGCCCAAGGAGGATTGCTTCCAGAAGTGCCTGCACCAATCGCCAAGGTACTGGTTTGCTTTGTTGCAGATTCAGGAACCGAACCACCCAACTCTGCTAGGAAATTCTGATACTCATCATCCATCTTCTTCCCAGTAGCACCCTTCACCGGACAGTCTATGCTTGGATGACCACCATCCCCACAATGTTTACAGACAACTTCACTCTTAAACGTCGACGTCCTAGTAGGACACGCATATTGGCGATGACCAGGTTCACCACACAACCTGCAATACTCCTCATCCCTGATCGTCCCATTCAATGCAGCAAGTTCCCTAAGTTGTTGTCTCTTGTGTTCATTCAACACCTCATCCACAGGCTGCAAGAGCTTCTCCACCATACCTGCAGCAGCCTCAAGCGACTCCGGCGTCTCAGCCTCTACCAACACATGCAAATCCTCATTCTCCGAAGGGTCAGGCTTCAGATCCCTCTTCTGCTGTAGCCTGCCCTCTTTCACAGATCCTTTACCTCGAATCACAATTTTAGCACCAGTTTCTTTCTCCATCCGCTTCTGGGTGTTACCTCTGGGACCAATAATAAGCCCAATAAAATTGTAACCGGGGTATTCCTTCATCGGTATATATAGCTTCTTCTGAAGCTTGGGCGGCCTATAATCCGCAGGTGGCTTAAACGCAGGGTTCTTCTTAATGATCTGAGATATAATTTCCTGCCTCTCTTTTTGCAATCTCTCACGCGCACGATATTCCCTAGTGTTAATCCTAATACCCATGTTATCATAAATCGGTTCCGGAGAAGGAGATCGAGCACCTTCGGGGCGATCATCTAAGGGCAGACCTGACTGTAACATTCGACTAATCTCCAGAAGCCTACTGTTCAAAGCCTGGATCTCTGGATCAAATTCAATACCGCCCATAAAATCAGGAAGCTGAATCACCGGCTTGGGCTCGTCATCCGCCCAACGAGACTTCCTCTTCTTCGGCCCGGACCCCAATTCCCCGCCGCTCTGGTCATTCGATTCCGGCTGCGGGTCCCACCGGCTCCGACGGCGCCGCTTGCTTGAAGTCTCCTCCTCGCCTCCGGATTGGTCCCTGTCGGTGCCGCTCCGGGTCAATCCTTCGGAAAACAATGGTTTCGAAATCTGAGGATGTAAACCGTTGTTATCGTAAGTGTCCTGGCCGTTGTCCGTTGTTTTTCCGTCGCTGGTCCCGTTACCGTTTTGTCCGGTTTCCGATTGGGGTTGCGACGGGTTGTGATACTCTGATGGCGCTTGGTTCTGCGATGATGGATCATAGGGATGGATGGGAGGTAGATTTGGGGTTGAATCGAGGGCGTCCATGGAGTGAGCAGAAAGATAGGGTTAGGGTTTTAACGTGAGAGTGGAAACAGCACCAACAATTGTCGACAAAGAAGACGAAGGTTGTGATGACTTATCAAATGTCCACGTGACCCATCCAATTTAAATACGCAACCCGAGTTGGATTTGGAGCCCAAATATCCGCGTATAATAAACCCGAATTTGATTATTGGCAAAAGATTTTAATGTTTTCATCTTAAAAAAAAATATATATATATATATATATAAATTAAAAAATTTTAATTTTTTTTATTAAAACTAATATAAAAATTAAAAAAAATCATTATTAACTACAGTACAATTATAGAATATTTTTAAAGCAATGATTCTGAAATTATTCAAAAAAAAATATTTTATTAAAGTGATGATTATGAAATTATTCTAAATATAAAGAGATATCTCTAATTCAATTCTTCTTCAAAGTAGATCTCGATATTCGGAGGGAAAGTGAAATTGAATCATGACATGAATTCTAAGCCTATGTGTTGGTTTAGTCTATTTACTGTTAATATGGATATAAGATGATTTGAATAGATTCTATAAATTTGGTTTATGAGAAATACGAAGGGGAGAAAGAAGAAGAAACAATTCGAAGTGATGAAAAGCTAAGAAAGTCAACTTGTCAAAACAAAAATTACTATTTTACTCTTAAATTAATCTGTCATTCTACTTTTCATAGATCACTCGTTAATCATAACTTTTAATTATTTATATTTTTTTATTTCATAATTATTATAATATTATATGAATTTTTTTAAATTATGTATTAATTAAAAAAAATATTTTTAATAAAATAGTTAAAAATATATAAATTTTATTTTTTAAGAACTTTTTATTTTTAAAAAATGTATTTTAATTTTCTCTATCATTTTTATTCCATAAAATTATTGTACTTTAAAAATTATTTAATAACAACAATAATAATATTTGTAACAATATATATAAATAATAATAATTGTTATTATATTATTAATAATACAGATAATAATAATTATAACTATAATAATAATAATATTTTTTTATATCACTAATCAAAATAAAAATAATTGATATATTTATAATATTTTAAATTCTAATAATAACAATGATTTTTATTAAAAGGGTAATTTATTATCTTCAAATTACTTCTATTAAAATATTTATCTTATTGAATCAAATGGTAAACTTTCGTCAAATCTTATTTGAATCAAATCACTCGTAAACTTTCATCAAATTTTTTTATATTTCTTATCTTCTTTTCCTTAATTCAACAAGCTCATACTTATTTTGCATTCTAGTATATTTTTCTTTTCCTAATGTACATCACTGATTTCTTGAACATATTTACTATACTTAACTTTTAATAAACATTTTTTCATTAAAAATTATTTAATTAAATATAAAAATTAAACGTGTTTCCAGTTGATTAGATTTTAATTTGATGTTAATTTAACAAAAAATTGAAACCAAATAAGATCATTCTATGCCAATCAGTTTAGATCGATTTTACAATTTTTACTTTTATAATTTTTTTCAAAATTTTATAATAAAAAACTTAGAAATAAAGAAATGTATCATATAATTTTTTTTATATAATTATTGCTATATTCATAAGTTAATTTTTTTAATATTTATAATAAATTACAGCATCTCATAATAAAAAATTACAATCCAAATTTACTATAATATTTGTAATAGATATAAATATATTGGAAATAAAATAAAATAAAATTATAAAATAACCTTCAAACTACATTTTTATTGTTTGAGAATAAAGAATTTGATTAAATTGTGTGATTTAGAAAAAAGTGGATAGAAAAATTCAATAAAAAAATCAGTTTTAATAATTTTTTTGGTTTTTGAATTAATTTTTAATTATTTTTTATCAGTTCGATTTTAAACCAGCTGTTGCTGATAATTGCCCCAGATGCAGATTTCGACTCCACAAGTTTTCTCCTTTATCTTGCAGCTTTCAGTGTATAAAGAACCAACAAGAGAACATAAACTTGATGAACAATAGATGCCACAAATACCAGCAGTTAAATTTTGTAAGAAATGTAAGAACCAGATCGAGTGGTCATTAACAATGTAATAAGCATCAGTCCCATGCATGTCTTTTCAATATTTGATTTGATGGTTTGTAGACTATGATTGGTGTCAACCAACCAAGAGAAAACAAATACTTTGTATAGCCCTATATTTTGGCATATTAAACCATGCTCTTTCTCTACTCACAATTCAATGCATTAGCTAATTGCGTTCCTAGATATGGATTCCACAAACTAACCATCAATTATCAATTCATATTTCTTAACTGTATAAACCAAAATTCATCCAGTGCTGAGGAAACAAAAGCTACAATAAAAGATGTCTTTCTATTACTTCACAATTGCTTCAATGTTAATTTCCCCATATTTTTATCATAAGTTGCAAAAAGATCATACACAAACGGAGTTGGAAACTAATTCATGGGTTAGACACAACAGCAGATAGACAAGAACTTGTGCACACGTAGATTTTCACCTGGAGTACGGTGTGTTGGGACCTTAGATGGTATGAATGACCTTTGTTTAGTTTGTCACAGTGATAAAATGTTTAGGCCACTAGCCAGGGCCTGGTTCTGATAGGCTATGTTAGCTTGTTCAGCTCCTGTTATCTAAAGAATTATTGGAGGACTTATTAGGGTATAAGGATTCCGTCCTCAGTCACGAATTGGTGTTGCTACAAATAACAGTACATTTGACGAAAAATAAATAATAAGAGGAAATATTTATTACTAGCCACATATGAGATCAATTTATGATATCTATTATGTGGTAGGTGACCTTCCTTTAATAAACTTTTTTTTTTTTTTCTTGAGCCACTTGGTCACGTTTACCTCTCATGTCCCCAGTCAAAACCAAATTATCATAAAAGACTAATTTTGCCAACTTCAGTAAGTTATTGCACCAACATTCATTGGTTTCCAAGTTCTGGAGAGCATGGCACCAAGACTTCCCAAAAGCTTTTCTCCCTGTAAACACAGCAATGAAACAGTCAAAAAGATATCCAGATTCAGACGACCAGTTCAGAAACTAATTTCAATTTCAAGGCACAGGAAAGCATGTCAAAAACTAATCGAAATGTTCTCCTCTACACGCCCATTGTAACAAAGATAGCATGTGAAAAGCAGAAACAGCTATGAAATCATTAATTTTCAGTTCAAGATTATCCTGTCTGAGTTCCAGTTCAAACAATCATTTCATATATCGATTAAGTTTTCTTCTAAGCTTCCATGAGACCTGTTGAAATGTTTATCTTTCCCATTGTTTGTTCCTTGTAGATCTTGATAACTTATCATTTCCTTTTCAACTTTTACTCGGTTACCTTATTCCAATGAATCAAGTTAAGTGTGACTTAATTTGTCTGTTAATAAAAGGATGTTATACTATAGTCGTATATTTACCTCAATGAAAGTTACTTATAGGATATATCTAATCTAATTATCCTGACAGGAACACAACTTCCAAACTTGTTCAAAGTTACAACATTAAAATGCCTCTAATAACCTCTGATTTTTAGTTTCTTGACCCTCTAGCTCATTTTGAACCCATTTCCCCTCAAGAATCAGAGTGACAATAAAAATCTACAGTCTACACTTTTCCCTTCTATGTTACTTCTCTTCGTTGTTGGATTTTGATGTTGCATACTTGTATACCCTGAAATAATATAATAACAGTAACAGGCTCTTGAATATGGAGCAAATTTCAAGCTAACATCCTCAATATGCAGTAAGAAAATAAACGAAGTCAAGAAAAAGATACACAATTTGTAAAGAAAATAGAAGAGGAACAGATAGTGTTGACCCAAGTCAATGATGTCATAATATCATTTGCAAGCTGTTGACAAATTCAATGCCACAAAAGGGTGGCAAAAGCATCAGAAACCTCCAGGAGATTCTAATTCTAAACAATCACCGCTATGAATGAAAACTCATGAGAACATATTATTATCTCTCAATTATTATCAAATAATGATACAACTCAGGAATATCATTCGGAAATACACAAAGTACAGTTCATATTCTCCCCTTTACCAAAAACTGGTAAATACCAACTAAAGAATCAGAACCATCTAATTTAATCTAATGTGCAGCAGAATCAAGAGAGGGGTTTTGTTTCTTGATTGAGCATGATGATTTGAAAGCCTCAATTTGTGTCTGACATTTGACATAGTCTCCCTTGCTCTCTTCCAGACACTTTTTTAAAGCCTCAACATCACAAGCTGAATTTATTTTCTTCACACTGCTGCTATCCCCTGCTCTCTGATCCATAAGCTTCAATTGAAAAAAAAAAAAAGGTCTGCATTGTATATCAAATTAGTGGATTACTCAATCAAGATAATAAAAATAATAATAATATCACAGTTAAAACCATAAAAAACTAAATTTTTGGAGTTCAAATAACAGAGAAAGCAATTGAGTAATGGAGTCCAGTGTTACGTCGCTTGAATTGATTGAAAGTAGAAAATAGAAAATAAGAAAATAGAATAAGCAAATATTCGTACCGTAATGAAATGCAGCGTAAATCTGCAGGCGCTAACCTAACCCTGCTAAGGAAGAAGAACACGAGTGATCCGGCACCGTAAAATGCAAGCGTATTTAAGTTTTTTTTCTCTTCAATTTAAAAAATGGTATTTTCATTATTATTCTAAGGTGATTAGATGGTTAAATTCTATATTAAGCAATAACATTTATTTCATCACCATATATATATATATATATATATATATATATATATATATATATATATATATATATATATATATATATATATATATATACTTGTGTCACTTTTTTTTAATCTATTTTCTTTCAATCTTATCTTTAAAATTAAGATAACTTATTTTATTGTGATTATTTTATGTTACTGTATTTAGAGAAGAGGGAAAAGAGAGTAAAAATTAAAAACTAATGTCCATTATTATAATTATTTTTATCATTATTATAATTATTTGTATCATTATTATAAAAAAATAGAAAGGCGCTTTTGTATTTTTTTCTTGAGAATAATATATATTAATCACATACATTTATTAAACTCCTATTTTATTTTGGATGTCTTGCATTAATTTTGTCTTTTCAACTCATTTTTTTATTTAAGTTTATTCATCAAAATAAAGCAGAAGAAGAGATATATGTAGTGAAAGGGGGCTACAAATGAAAACTATTTCATGTATTTCAAGACTAACAAATGATAATGGAGAAAATTAATCAGTATATTAATCTAATAAACATATTCGTGTATGAGTGATATACTGTGGGGATATAATAAGTGAAATTTTCAAAAGTTATTTAAAATCACAATTTTGCCAAATAAAAAAGTTGTTTGTTTTTTGTTTAACTTGATCAACTTGCACATTTACACATTTCTGGATATAATTTAAAGAATAATGTCTGCACTCTAATTAATTATCTATAAATTATTATTCTTTTATTTGAATCTTGATTCTGTGTAATATATATATATATATATATATATATATATATATATATATATATATATATATATATATATATATATATATACATATATATATATAGACATGCCCCTACTCTATCCTACATTTTACTCAATGGTATAGTTTAATACATTTCACTCAATATATTCAGAAAGATATAGTATATCTATCCTTAAATTGAGTTAGATTATCTCATATAAATTAACTTAAATTTAGAAAAAAAGTACATTATTATACTTTATTTTATGTCCATGAAAACAATCCCTAGTGAAATTAATAGCACTAATACATAAATAAATTATTGTCATGGATAATTATTTATTCTATTGAATACAACATTATCGCACATTTTCTGACATTCTATTTTTATTAATAATGACAAATTTTGCACTATTTTGAAGAATGTATAGAAATTGCCGAGTACCAATAAGAAATAGGAATGAAAATAATTAATTATTTTGATCACTGACAAGGTATAGGAACTTGAAGTGGAGTTAACCATGTCTATTTTATATCATAGGGACAAGAGTAACATTATATTTGCGAATGGTGTGTCAATTATGTACACATCTTAAAAGAAATTTGTCCAACATCTTATAGTCATGATTCACACGGTCACAATTTACATGACATGTACACCAACTGTGTGACAACTGAAGATTATACTCAGAAATAGACAGAAAGCATTGGTGCTTTGGATCAATGAACTTGCAGTTACCATCTGAAAAACACAAACAATTCAAATCATCATAAATGACTAATATCTGTGATGAAAAAAGCATATACCAGTGTCCTAGCGAAGCCACAATTACGTCCAACAACTGAGAAAAAGGGAGGAAGGGATTCATGATTGTTAAATTTTACAAGTATTTGGCATAGGTAGAGTATTGACATTTACATGACTTATGGTATGAGGCACCATCACTTGTGAATCATTAATAATAGAAACAATAAGCAATTTAGATGATAACAAATAATAAATATTAATCACGTTTACCTTGGTCAATTGCCGGAGCTACCAAGATCAAAGTCCATGGTGTAATCGTACTCTATTGTTGGAATTACAGAAGCCATGAATTTTAGGAACAAGAATAGGTACCTACAGGAATAAGTATATGTGCTTATGTCATCTCATACACACCCACACGCGTATAAATCATTAGGTACAAATATTGCACTTAAGAATCATGAACTAGAAGAAAGGGGGTAAAATCCATATCTAATGGCTATACATTTATGACACTATGGTAATAAATATTTGTATTGTGGTGCCACAACATGGGATACCAATAGTCATAATATGGATGAAATGTTTCTCCAAAATGAAAATAATATCTTAGGAAGAAAGGGTTTACTTGTCAACTTCAGGCTCAACTCCACGTGACATCAACACATCAATGATTTTCTTCATCACTGCTCCATGTCGACATGGATGAATAGATGCATGCTTCCCAGGCAAGTGTGGATGATCTTCAATTGTTACCTGCGACCAGTTAAATTTGTAAGAAAGGGCCTCTCTTATGTGAGAAACTGAGAAAGAGAGGACACACATAATATTCATGTCTAGTATCTTACCGTTTTGCGAGCATGGTCTTGACTGACATCTTCAAGGACAAGTTCTGGTTGCAAAAGCATTCTAGTCTACCAAATATAAGACATGGGATCACTAAATTATTAACAAGTTTCCGAGGTATAGAATTGGAAATGATGAAAAGGTTTATATGTTTCTACAAGTATTCAACCTAAAAAATAAAACATCAAAATGTCAAATGAGAATACAATACAACATGGCGCTGTGTCAGTCACAGCATCATTTTTCCAGTACCAATATTTCATATAGATAACAGAGGATGCACAAATTATTCCTTCCTTATTCATAAAACTTTGAAGAGTACATTAATTTTCGTTCATCCCCGTGTTAAGAATCAGGCCTTCTTATTTATTACCATCAGGTTTTATTCAATGCTAATAAATCGGTAATGCTAATTCTAGTTCAAATAGCTTTGCTATAGACAATTCAAACAATGATCAAGTGGATAAAACAAACCTCATCATACCCAGTAAGCCATACTCGTGGCGTTTGATAATATTTATCATACCTGCAAAACAAGCAAGTTCCACTTTAAAATCGTTCTCAGAAAAGGTAAAAAGACAGTATAAGGCATCATCCAAAATAGAAATTTATAGCACTTCTACTGCTCCTGTCCACACAAACATTTAAAAACAATATAACATTGTCTCCAAATAATTGTTTTTAAATGATGATTTGTTTAAAATAGTTAAAAACCTTTCTACAAAAAGTAGCAGAGCCAAACTAACAATATATTGCAGATATACCAAATTTTCATATATCATCATAAATAGCAATTTTGTGGAAACAACCATACTCAGAATATCAAAGAGTGGCCATAGACATTAAGATTGAAGTCGTAAAACATTAATGATATAGAGGTATACATTTAATAAGCCTGGTTGAGGGTTAAAAGTAATGACTAGCATGCATAAAATGACAAACATGTAAAATTCTATTGAAACTCATCTTACGTGATACTGATATCATAAGTTCGGGTTCGTAGAATATTATCATCTTCAGGTTCATGAGCTACAAGATACGTGGACTGAAGTGGCCTCCCATTAACATGAGAACAAATAAATTAGACAAATCACATTTCTTAAATCAGTATGAGAAAAATAGAAGAATTAAGAAAAAGTACATTGTTAAAAAAAAATAACTAATATAAAATTAATTGAAATATTACAAATTATATAAATCAATAAATAAAGAACACGAAATAAGCGCTCAGGTGCACCATGGCCCAGATCCACATTCTTAAACACTAGAAAGGAATAGTGAAAAAGTCACTTAACCCAAATTAAATAGTGGTTCTACAGTCATTCTAGGCTTCATTCTAAATGCTCAAAGATACTCAGTCCTCCAGTCTTTGAGTTAAAAAGTTAGTAAAAGACTCTCAGGTACTTAGTAAAGGCTTTCAGCCTATAGAGAAGTATTCAGGCTTCTTAAAGTACAAAGGAGGGTGAAACAAAGATATAGTAGTAAACAAAAATAAAAGATGGCATTTATGTTTCCCCTTGATCATATGCATGAAGATTATACTGAAAAAGTGAAGACATATATTCTCAAATGACACTACCATACAGCAGCAGTTGCATAACTGCTATTAGGACCTATCTCCCCAACTTCTTTTCCAATAAATCTATTTCTTACTAGGGTCTCACAATGCTAGGAAAGACTAACCAAATAGAAAATGTGATGATACATAGCAGACTATATATTTCTATTATCCTTCATTTGATTCCGTAAAATTTAACTATCGAATCTGAAATAGATGTAGGACGGTTAGGAAATACAACCCCTTTTCCAAATATGCAGAATCAACTTACAGGATCATTTTCCATAACATTGCTATTATCATCGAATTCTTCCATATCTGGAATATCTTCATCATCCTCGGTTCCCAAGTAAGAAGAAATTTGCTTAATAGAATTTTTTTTGCTGATTTCTAAGCTTTCCATGGAAGGTAAATTCTCATCTTCATCAGATTTGTTTTCTTGAAAAAAAAAAAAAAAAAAAAGTAAAAGCATAAGCTATGAGAATTAAAGTCAAAGCACACTAATATACGAGCCCCAGTCCAACAGCAATATATACCCTTAGGTTTCCCATGAGTGGCTAGCCAACCATCATTATCTTCGCCATCAAGCAGAACTTCCCCTCCGGCAGCTTCGTATTCTTCTTCAACAGATGCAGCCCTCCGAAGACAAGGCACTGTTAATTATTAAGTAACTCCAAAAATCAGTATGATAATGAAAGAGAACATTCTAGATCTTACTGCTTGCTTTTAATAGAGGAAAAGAAAACATCAGAGACACTACACTCAGATCTTAATCATACCATTTCTAGTAATCAAGAACTGTTTCTCAAGTGGCAAATACGGCTTCCTCTTCCCTGACTCACCCGATTCCCTGTCGGAAAACAGAACCACACACATCAACAGTTGGAAAGATCCTACATGCTCAAGTAAATTAAACATTTATTACTAAGTTTGTCACAGGAAATCTTGAAACAGTACCATATACTTCAACAAAAAAACCCTTTGGAAAGGAACAATTTTTCAGATACAAAAAGAAAGTTGAACTTAAATACGCAATCCCCATAAAAAAAAAAAAAAAAAGAAAAAAAAAAGCGGAAAAAATGAAAATTAGAAAAAGAGAGGAATTAGAATTACCAGGACCAGGTGGGGCACTTGGCAACGAGACTATCGCCGGCGGTAACGAACTCGGAGACACTGAGAACACCCTTTTCTTTGAAGGCGGAAACGGTTCTTGGGCCAGTGATCCTCTCCACGGTGCCTTTGAAAGCTTCGTGAAGCTTCTGAGACAGAACCATCTCTTCCTCCCACTAAAGATTTTGAGAAATGGTGAAAGAGATTGAAGGAGGAAGAGGTGATGGTGCGAAGATGAAAGGTTTTGGAAATTGCCCCTTATACAACACGTCTCCCTTTGTCAACACCACATTCAAGAATATTGCTGAAAATGTATATATATATATATAACACAAGAAAGGGCCAAGGGCATCATCATTCATATGATAAGAGGCTTCTGATTTATTATTATTATTATTATTATTATTATTATTATTTATTTATTTAACACAATTGATATAATAGGAGTAATGGTATAGAATTGTATGAATATCATATCATAAACTATATGAGAATATTTATTATTTCTGGAGTAAATAGTTTATATAGTAAAAAATGTATTAATTTTAGTAATATAATATAAATGTATCACTAAAATATGTCATTTTTTTTTTCAAAATTTCTTATAATTTTATCTTTTAAAAAAAATTAAACTAAATAGTTACATACATAAAAAGAACAGATATATAACCCAGAGACCAATTTTCCATAAAAATATATAGAGGTTGAATTTATAAAATAAATAATTACGTACATAAATGGTCAATTATTATACATAATTATCTTTTATATTATATTTAGATTTGACTATTTTATTTTTTAATAAATAAAATAATTATTTATTATATAAAATTATAAATTAATATACTAACAATGAATACTAAAAAACAATTAATATGTTAAAAATAAAAATTAATTTAATATTTTTTAAATTTATTTAAATCCTTTAATTTGATACATCATCGCATAATTTATTTCATAATTCACTTTAAATTTATTTAAGATATAATGTTTAAATTAATTACTGCATCAAATACATTTCCAATTTAAATCCCAATTTTACATTATATTTCCAATTATACGATTAAAAAATCTTATAAAACTCTGATAGGAACGAATCTCTTAAATAATATATTTGAAAGAAAAAATTTATTGAATAGATTGTTTATTATTTATATACAAAATTTAAGAATGAAAAATAAATTTCTGTTATGTAATACAAATATTTTTGTTCTCTTTCCTTTTTTATTTTTATATTTTCTCTCTTTTCATTTAATTATTATTTTTTCTTTATCTCAATACTTTTTTTCGCTCATCTTATTTTTTCTAATTAAAAATATTAAACTAAAATTTGATAAAATAAGTTTTTTATTATTTTTAAAAAATAAAAATATTTAAATTATCTAAAAATATTATATTATAAATTTGAGGTATTATACATTGTTATGTTATAATTATTAAAAAATATTTATTTTAAAATATTTTTTAATAAATAATTTTTTAAAATGATCTAATATGATTAATTTTCATAATTCAATCTAATTATGATTAGATTAAATTATTATATAAAATATACGAGTAAATATTTGATATGTTTTATTTAAATGTATAATAATTTAAAATTAATTATTTATACTGTTATATAATAAATAAAATTATTTATTTTAATCATAATTTAAAATAAATAGTTGATATTTTTTAATTTTAATATTGATTTTAAAACTTTATTTTTTTCTTATAAAGAGAGACATGATATATATATTTTTTAATAATTATAACATAATAATTTGTTGAAATTTATAATATAATATTTATAAATATAATATGTTAAATTATAATATTTTCAGATAAATTAAATATTTTTATTTTTTAAAAATATGAAAATATTCATTAAAAAATGAACAGGGAGAATTTAATATTTTTAATTAAAAAAAATAAGATAAATGATAAAAAAAAAAAAGATAGAGAAAAACAAAATACAATAAATAAATGAACAGGGAGAAAAGTAAAAAAATAAATAAAAAAAGGAATAAAATATCTATATTATATGAGAAGAATTATTTTTTATTATTGAATTTTATGTATAAATAATATATCGGTCTAGTTAGATAAAACAAATTTAAAGAGATTTTAAAATAATTTTTAATATTTCTTGAAATGATAAAAGAATAGGTGGAAACTGCTGTTTATAATTAAAATTAAAGTTTCCAGGTAGTAATTGTACAGTTTAAATGAAAAATTTTAAATTTTAATTATAAAAAAATATTAGCATGCTTTTAGATAATATTTATTGTATCCTTCATAATTTCTAATTGATCATTACAATAATATACTCTAATTTAGTAGGTTATTCAGTGTGTTAATGGAGTTTTGAAGACATACCTCTTTCTTTCTTGGTTACATTTCAGGATTTCCTTAGTTGCTTCTCCTACTTCGATAACGTTTCGTATCGGTCTGACGAGAGGAGGATGTATATGATGTTGATCTCTACTCTTGGAATTTAGCTTCAGTTGAAGATGAAGAGTTATGATTGAAGGATATTCTGTTCTCGATCCCATTCAGACTATGATCAACAGTGTCCCATAACTCTAATCATCTTGATTTTATCCTTAAAACTCAGCTCGGGTGAATAAAACGGTGCACTTGTAAGCAGAACTCTTTAGATGCAATTTATACAAAGAAAGAATAATTTGCATTGTCAGAATCTTCCAGTTTCTTTCCCAGGTGGTTCAGCATTCTATACAGTTCTCCGGAGTAAGGAGCAGAGTTATCGTCAACAACAAACTTGTGCAGGGTTCCATCAATCTCTATGAAACTCCAAGCAGTAACTGCAGAGACACCTCTGCCTTTCATCAAATTCCTCGTCTCCAAAACACCCTCCCACCTCCCTAATCTCGCGTACACGTTGGCCAGAACAACGTATCTTCCGCTGTGGCCACGTTCAAACTCCACCAAATATTTCCCAATTCTGAGTCCCAGCTCAACGTAACCATGCAACAAACACGCATTCACCAAACACCCCCATATGGCTCCGTCAGCTTCCATTTCCATGGTCTTCACGAACTCCAACGCCTCATCGATTTTCCCGCCACGAGCCAACGCATCAACGACGCACCCGTAGTGCTCAATCCACGCCACAATCCCATGTTTTTCCCTCATGTAGTTGAACAATGAAACTGCTCTCCCAAACAGCTCTTTGTGATTGCACGCGCTCAGAACCCCGATGAAGGTAACCGCATTGGGCCTCGGGCCCACCTTCTCCATCTCCGCGAACAGCTCAAGGGCCGAGTAATTCTCCCCGTTGATGGCCAGGCCCAATATCATAGCGCTCCACGCCGCGACGTCTTTGTCTTTCATCTTACCGAATACCCGCTCAGCAGGTTCCATGCAACCGCATTTGGTGTAGAAATCGATCAACGCCGTTCCGAGCTCAAGTTCGTAATGTTCCAACTCCTCGTTTTGGTCCACGTGAGACTGAATCCACTTCCCTTCTTCAAACGCGCCGATGGCAGCACATGCGCTGAGAACGCTCACCAGAAGAGAGTTATTCGGCTTCACTGTTGCAAACCGATTTTTCTTGAGCTCACGGAAAAGCTGAATTGCCTCGCGGAAAAAACCGTTTCTGACGTACCCGGAAACCATTGCGCTATACGACACGTCGTTTTTGTAGGGGATTGCGTTGAACACCTCCCTCGCGTCGTTTACCAAGCCGTTGTTGCAGTAGCCAGTGAGAAGACTGGTGCAGCACGCGACGTTTTGGTTGGGACTTTCGTCGAACACGTTGCGCGCGGTGCGTGTGGAGGCGTGGTTGGAGTAGGCGGTGACGAGGGAGGTGATGACGTAGGGGTCGGAGAGGTAGCCGTGTCGGAGGATGAGGGAGTGGAGCTGTTGGAGGAAGGGGAGAGAGGGGGAGGCTTTGGAGAGGAGGAGGGTGAAGGTGCGGGAGTTGGGGCGAATGGTGGTGTTGTTGAGCATGCGGAGGAAGAAGGAGGAGGAGCGGCGGGAGAAGGCGGCGATGATGGTGTTGTAGTGGAAGAGAGTGGGGAAAGGGATGTGAGAGAAGAGGGTGTGGGCGTGGCGGAGATCGGCGTGGGGAGAGAGGGCGCAGAAGGCTAAGAGTTTGCTTGAGATGAAGGTGAAGCGAGCGAGGGAGGTGGTGATGGCGTAGGCGTGGATTTGCTTCATTTCTCTCATGCTTGAGCATTGTTCCAGAAGACGAAGAAGATTCTGCTTCTGTGAGGTTGAGCCCATAGCAACTCAATGCTTTTTGTTCAGTGCTACTGGGTTTTGCAATGTTGGAATATATTTTATATTAATTATTTGAATAGAAAATTAGAATGTATGATAAAATGGAAACGAAAACGGTTGAGTAAATGAGGTGACAGCAGTTACCATGTATAAAAGGAGACAAATTTGGAACAGTTTGCGGAAACACAAAAGGCAGCGTCTGAAGGTTGAAGACGGAGAGTAAACGAGTTTAAAGGAAGATGACAACGAAATTTTTGGAGGCGAAGCTCCAGGAACTGCAATGTATATTGGATGAAGCATTGCTGCACGGCCCCGAGACGCACTCCCACAACTCCATCTCTAGCAACATCAAAAAGAAACTCAGTTTCATTCGCAACTTTGTATCTGCTGAAGTTTCTTCTCATCCATCCTTACCCCATAACTTGCACCACATTTCAGAGTGGTTGTACAAATTGGAGAGGGATTTTGACAGCGATGGTGGGAAGGCACTTGATGAAACTGGTTTGGTTGTTTCTGAAGAGCCAGAAAAGGTTTGTCTTGATTCTAATTGTGAGGAGGGTGTGGTGGAATATAGCGGTGCTGTGGCTGCGGCAACTGGGTGTGTTGAGGAAGACAAAGAGACGGGAAATGGATTTGATAATTTGGCATCTTCCGATTATGAAGACGCAGAGGACGTTTTTGAAGACTTTACAGGAGACAAGGAGGTTGTGGGATTTGTGGGTGATTTACTAACAAAAAGTGAAGGGGAGGGTAATGATTTAGAAGGAGAAGGGAGAAGAGAGATTACATTTGGGGAGAGATTTCGTGCAATGGCTGGTGGGGTTGTTATTGGGATGATACTAATGGCCTTTATCATCATGCTAAATACTTCTGATTGCTTTCATTACGTAGAAGAACTAAGTTTTGCGGTTCCAACTTAGAAATATGAGCTATTTAATGGTAAAATTTGCCTGTGTGGTTCTTCCACACAATTTACTTCAAAGGCATTCTACAATACTATTATCATCGTTTGTCAGTACTACTTTGTAATTCAGAATTAGATCAGTTCAGACAATTTAATGTGTATGTGTATATTTAAACTGACCGTCACTTGAGTGGAGGAACGTTGAATGTCTTACCTCATCCGAACAAATTGTTTCGCTACGAAACACTGAAACTGCAAAATAATGGGAGTGATAGCTATATATTTCTATTTATATATGGTTAAAATGAGTGGAATCGTTGAATAAAATGTAAAACAAATTTTTTTATTTCAAATACATTTTAATTAATAAAAAATATATATTGTTAGAATTTTTTTAAAACAAGTTCTGAATGAGATAAATTTTGTACAATTTTTCTCATAATATTTTGAACAAAAGACGAAAAAACAATTGAAAAATGAGGAAAGCTGTTTAGAAGATCTTCTCTGCAAAAAAAATTTAGAAGAAACATTAATAAAAAATTAGGAAGAAAAAAAATAAAATAAAAGAATAAAGATTTTAAAAAAACTATATGAAGGGATTTATACAAATTGCAATATCATACTAATTAAATAAATGAAAGTTTGCTACAACAACTCTAATTAACTTGCCATATATGAAATATTGTAGTTACTTTGGTATAAGATTCTTGTTTTTATATTAATACTTGTGATTTATGAAATATTGTAGTTACTTTGACATAAGATTCTTGAATAAAATTGTCTCCCAAACAAAATACCCGTGAAAAAAAAAATGGACAACCATCTTGAAGTTCAGAAACTCGTTAAGCAGAAACACGAATTAAACAAGACCTTGGATAAACCGAATTTCGAATCTAATATATGAGGAAATTAATGGTATTGTTTGTGTAGTGAAGTTCACAAAAAATCAACAAGAGAAAGAAAAAAGATGCTTTACTAAGAATGTATAAACAAAGAAATTGTCAAAATCATCCACGTTAAACAGGAACTGGAAAGCCCTTCTTGGCCATGCTATCCAAAACATCGTTGAGGGCTTGACATAGACCTACAATCTGCAACGAAAACAATCATAAGTAAAAGCTTGAGGAAATTGAACCATTGAAGTCACTCATCAAAAATTAAACAATATGGTCCTCAAAGAATATGTTCTAGTGGATGTACAGGTGCATACATACAACAGAACGGCTCATCCAATAAATACATTTAAGCACAGAATGCAACGTACTTGACCAGCATACAATAATTATTTTTCCAATTCTCCTTTTCTTCAGGCTCACGGGAATTGATTATATAAAAAACTTAAACTTAAAGTCAACTAATTTATTTGAGATTCATTCATCAATAAAAGATTATAATTGTAAAGAATACTCAATTTTTAAGAGTTTTAGCTATTCATGTTTTTTTTTTTTTAAATCGGAATGTGTTCTAATATAACACTGGAAATTTCACAAATTTTAGGTAGCCACAGCAGTTGTGAGTGAGATTCCCTGATTATAATTTAATCCACCTATAACCACTGCATCCAGAGATATCAGATCTTTAAAACAAAATTACCTGCTGGTCCCATCTTTGCAACTCTTCAGTGTCGTCATCAAAATGTATGACTGCTTCAACCTGCAATAAATCACACAAAAATTGGTCATTTCTCCTTAAAGAGGTTAAAAAGGAAAAACCTAATAATGTTTTCTCGGTCTCAGAACAGCTATTAACTCTACCCCTACACCCAACCTTTTTCCTAGTTCCCATCCAGCAGTTCAACAAGAAGATTCCTTTAATTATTATTTTTATTTTCCTTAGTGTACTTTCATAAACAGAAGTCAATGGTTATTTATACCTGATCGATAGATCCCCTCATCCTATCCTCGTAAATCATTCTTGATGCTATCTTCTCAGCCTGAGAAAAATATTTGTAGATAGAGAAATATTAACACAAATCAAATCAAGCAAACTCTACCACCACTGACATTAAAAAGAGAAATATTATTTACATCTCTAACACACTTCATTAATTTACATGTGGGTCTCATTCTTATTTAACAAGTAGCATGATTCCGTAACTTCCTATAGAGAGTGTGTTAGAATGTGTAGCTGGCACTCCTAAAAAAATATGCAATAGCAAATTCCACTTATGAAATTTTTTTCAGTAATAACATCAGAATTATTACTCTGATGATTAAAAATAAATTAAATCTTCAATATGGAAAAGGGCCATATAAATGATCCATGAAACAGAAAATTCAATAGCGAAGTTTGTTTCTTTATTTAAAAGGCACTATTATTATTTGTTCTTTGCCAAAAAATATAAAAATAAAAAAGTATAACGGCTGAGCCAAAATTCTATACCTTGTGAGGGGGGATTCCCAACAGCGTGCCTAGCTCATCAAAGCTGCAAGAGAGGCATACAGATATTAAAATGCATGTATACAAGGAAGAAATAAGCATACAGTATAATTTTCCAAACCTGATATTAGTATAAAGTTTGCTTGCACTAAGAAGATTATGCTCAATCATAGCACGGTCCAGCACCGTGAAATTGTCTGGAAGAAGAGCTTTCTGTGGGAAAAAGTAAAAGCTGAGGCATGCCTACCATGGCTTCCAAAACTATGAAGATACAAAAAAACTTTATATAACCTGATGTGGTTTCAATTCTTCTGCAAAAGCATCAATTTCTGGTTTTCTTAGAATTCTCTCCAAATACACCTGATATAGAAGAGATTCACATTATATGATCCATGTGCAAAGCCATACAAGAGAGGTGAGTGGGGCCGAAATACCTTCTGCAATATTGGATAGATCTTCAACTTTGAACAACGCTCATCCTAATCCAAGCCCACAAACATTATTGTGATGAAAGTTGACCTTTGCAAACGAGACTTTGAAAACATTTAATGAGTGAAGCATTCACCTTATACAAAGTGGCAAGAACACGGGAACGCTGAGGTCCTGCAGCTGCCAATATGGTGCATGTAACAGCAGCAGATAAAGCTTGTTCAAGTGCTTCCTCATTAATCTCCCTAAAATATTATAAATAAACCATGTGTGATGACTGCCAAAGAGCCATACCATTACAGCAATAATTATATGTAATATAGGACAAACATAAACCACAATGGACGCATGCAAAAGATATAACAAATACAGGCTGTAGTTCTGGCCAGGCGTCAGTAAAGTTGAAGGTCAAGGATTCTGTCGTGTACAATATTTATCATCATTCGACATGTTAATAAGTTCTTCATTTGATTTAATAAATGCTGAGATACCACATTTTAAATATAGAATGTGAATACAAGATGTAGGTATTACCTCCCAATGGACTGAGGAAGTAATACTGCTTGCGAACCAAACTAGAAGGCAATTTAGGAATTAGATTCATTATGGACCCAAAAAATATGTTATTGTTAACATGAGAATTAAAAGGCCCCAACTAACTAATTTCCATGGATGATAAAAACACGAGAATTTCTTATCAAGTAATGCACAATATAAATAGCAGTTTGCCAAAACATGACAAGAAGACAGTGTGCATTTGTATATGCAGCATCCCACTTTCCAATGGCGGATTGGCATTGAATACGGGTTTTCACTGCTTTCCAAACGCACACTACACATTTTGTTTACAATGTCAAAGATTCTCATACTCTGGCACAAATATCAGGTACACACGTATTAAGCATTCTATCAGCCATTCATGTATGGTTGATAGTCATAATCATATCTCTTATACAAATATTTGAAAAAACAGAACAAAATGATAACAGGGTGTCTGTTTTTAATTGGAAGTACATACAAAGAATGAATACAGAACATTTTCTGAAACCAAATAATCCCTTATTTTCTCAGCTAGGATTTGAAATTTGGATTGTAGTATCAAACCTAAATTCTGGGATCTGCAACAATAGTTACTGAAGAATAAAATCTAAGAAGAATATATAGGCAAACACTAGATTCTATTCCAACTACAGAAAAAAGGGGCATATGACAAAAATTCAGATTCATGCAAAATGATTCCCTTCACTCGCACAAAAATGATTATGAAAAAACTAAAGCAAGGAAAAAATGACATAGAAGATACATACTCGTCTCCTATTTTCCTTTTCTCAATTTGAGATATATCATAATACCGTAACGCTGCTTCCAAAAACTTCCTCTTCAAATCTAAGATCCTTGCATAACATACCTGAAAACAGAAAGAAAAAAAATGGGGAAAACAGAAAAGACTAGCCTCAGCTCAGGCATTGATATTTTAGCTCAGTTACCCCTAAGCAGCTATTATTTTCAAACCTTGTACTTTAAATTGAGTACTTCATGCGGACTATTGCTGACCAAGAATGATGCTTTATTAATAAAAGCTTCAGCATTGACAGCATCATCGTCCTGTCAACAAAAAATCATGACTTTGGCATTAATAACAAGTATACCCTTCATATTTTTAAAATGGGAACAGATGTTCCCATACTTACAATATTAAAATTATTCCTTATGTATGTGCATAAGATGAAGAACGTGAATGTTGCAGTTATAAAAATATTGCCTTTTTGAATATGAAGATGTATAACAAGAAAAGGGCAGAATGTTAGAGATCTACAAATCAAAGATAATGATACTCGTGTGTGGATTGTTATGACTCCCATTTTGGTCTTAGCCAATCAAACATGAATTTCTTTGCACAAAAGAGGCGATACCTCAAGGTATAAACAAGCAATTTGGACACACTTTGACAACCTGAATGCATCATCAATCACCCTGATAAAATAAAACAATGTACAAATAAGTAAAAGTGATATTCTCAATTTTGGCAGAATTATAATACTTTACACAAACAAATAAATTCGGGAGTTAAGAAATTATGAGACCTCATTCCTGAATCTAGGTCAATACCACTGAGCATTTGAGCTGCTTTCGACCATTGCTTCTCAGATTCATAAAGCTCGGCAAGTTTCTCTCTAATAACTAAAACCTAAAATAACATAACAAGTGGCCATTAGAGTAATTGAATTGAGTAGGCCAAATACAAGAGGAAGGAAAAATGCATACTTCACCATTAATTGGATGATGGATCAAAACAAAAATATATGAAGAGATTATGGGAGAAACATCTTTATTGGAAGCAAGGAACATTCACAATCACAATTAGCCAGTTTCCTCATAGTATTATTTTGGTTAGAATTTTCTTCAAACAAACTCCGCTTGAAATAATTTATTAGCTTTTCTTAAAATCTAATTACACTTTATATTTCACCTTCTCCACCCATGAAAAACCCTTTTGACCGGCATAGAGGCAGAAATACTTTTTTCGATTTAATGCATAACTAAATTTGTGATTCTGATTGACAAAGAATGATTATTTTCTCTCCCATACTCTACCTCACTACAATTTATAAAATTACTCAGACGGCGCAAAAGTTGAGTTCAAAATAACTATATCTAACTTTTTCTGTCCATCTTTTCTATCACATAATTTAATACCTAAATAAGTAAATAGTAAACGAAACAAAAATTTATATAATTGTTTATTAGAAAAATGGGGACAGAGAGTTAGTCAAGCATGTTTACAAAGTGGTGTAGGTACATTGTAATTTTTCGTTCTTGTCCTCTAAGAAAATCCCAATTGAAATGAAGTAGTAATAACTAAACGTTCCTATTTGCTGAAACTAAACAATACAAGTATGCAGTATTTTAGCTGAATGCACAAAAATAGAACCTGCTCTTCGAATGACACAACGCGAGGCTGAATTTGGGCAAGCGTGTAATGAGCAATCTCTTTCTGTATCTCAGGCTCCAATCTTCCCAACTCTTGAGCAAAAGTCTGCAAAAGTTGTCGCGAAACTACTAATGGAACATCATCTGATAACACTGAAATACGAAATATGAAGGTCTGAGAACTTGAAATAGAGGAACACTAGCCACAAAGAAACCCTAGATGAGAAGAAAGAGACTTAACTGTGATCGATGAATTTCCTAGCCTGAGCAATGTCATTGGATGAAATGACAGCAGCAAGTATGCTCTTATACTGCTCTATTTTTTGCCTCTGGTCTGTAATCGCAGAAGCGCTTGCAAAAGCATTCTCCATCACTGTTGCACGTTAACATTCATCAACACAACGCAACAAAATCTATAAAACCTAAACTAAGAAAAACTAGGGTAAAACTTTCGATTCTTCGATATTCCTCGCAACTCGTAACTTCATTCAGAGATGAAAAAAACAACAAACGTAAATAAATAAACGCTGAAGAAATAGTGGTAGGCAGTGGAGAGTGAAATCGGTTTACCTATCGGCGTTGTAGGACGGTTGAGCGTCGCCGACAGTTACAGGTTTGGCCGGTGGAGGTTGTGATTCTCACTCCTCCGTCTTGAATTGGAATCAACGACAATCTCTCAAATTTCACCTCAGAACACAACCCTTCTCACCTTCGTAAATTGTCCACAAAATGTTCCACCCGGTTCATTTGATCAAAAAAATTTCCAACACTTTTTTTCTTGGGCCTGCATCTTCTATTTCATGCTTTCTTTTGGGCTGGGCCTAAATATTAACTACGATTACTGAGTTGATTCTATTTTTGATAAGTAACTTTTGATAATCGATTTCAATCTGAATTCAATTCAGTTCAGCTGTGCAAGTATATAATGATATATTCAAGTGTGATTTAAATTATTTTGATTATTTATATCAAAATACTATTTTTGAATAATTAATAATTTAAATTTTCATATCCGTAACCACAAATGAGAAAAAAATTATCACTAACAAATATAGCTTAAATTACAAATACCTTTTATATGTAAAAATTAAATAAATATCTTGAGTAACCATTCTATTAGTACCAAATATTCATCAAATTTATCTATATTAATTTTTATTAGAAATGTATCTATTTGCTTTGGTTTTAAAACCAAATTCAATTTCATTTAGTTTAGTTTACTTTGATTTGTATTCAATTAATTAATTAATTAATTTTAGGGATTTCGTGTAAATTTGATTGATTGTCCTGTGTTAGGGAAGGCAAAACGGGTCAGTCCGTCCCGTTTTGACCCATCCCGCCTTTGGCCCCCAAGGGACGGGTTGGTGGGTCATGTGTCGTGGCTAGTCCACCATAATTTAAAAAAATTAATTTATTTTTTTAAATTAAAATTTTTAATAATAAGATTATTATTTATTTGTTAATAATTTAATATATATATATATATATATATTATTTCAATTTAATAATATAAATCAACACATTATTTTAAGAAATTATAATTTAGGATAATAATAAATTTTACATAATAATAAATAATAACAAATATATATATATATATATATATATATATATATATAATGTTAAAACTTATAAAATTTATATTTTTTATATTGAAAATTTTAAATACCTATATCTTTTTTGTTTGATAAAACTTGACATTGTTCTCGCTTGAGTAATTCTTACACTTTTAATTCAAGTTATAAGGATAAGAATAATACATATTTAAGATGAACAAGGAGAACATGAGAGAGAAGTTTATGTTTCAAGTAAGGAGAATACTTTTTGTGAAAGTGAAACTTTTTTAATTCTCTTTTTAAAAAATTTAACCTTAGATATTATCTTTATAATTAATTTTATTATAATAAAAAAATATTTTTATTAATTAGACGGTCATGCAGTCGAACGGGCTAAAAATACCAACCTGCTCTGTCATATTATGACTGGACCGACCCGTCGAGCCTGATCCATTTTTTCATCCCTATCCTATGTAAATATAAATCTCATTCTCTACAAGGTTGAAAATACTAAGAATTACAATAATCATGGATGACTATTTCATTCAATTCGTCTTTTTTTACTTTGCTATATTTTAGTATATGTTTTTAGTGTAAATAATTCGTTGTTAAATTTAATTAAATTTATAATAATTATGCAAGTTCGTTTTATATCAATCATGATATATTTAAAACATAATATATTTCAACTAAAGATTAGTCACACACAAAATTTATTTCCAATATAATTTGAAACATTTGAATTAAATTGCTAAAATAGTAAAGGGTAATAAAAGTAAATTATTAAAAAGTATATTCGGTCTTTTCGAGGGGACTAACAATAGGGGAATTTTCATAAATAAAACTTGAGTCAACCATATAAGAGAATATGACACCACCTTTAATTCAAAACCTTAAGGCATTAGGTTATGAGTCTTTCTCACTTATAAGTTACTCAACGTTTCCATTTCTACCCAATGTGAGACTTCAAACTCACTTGAATTCTCAACATCTCCCCCTCAAGTGTGATTCTCTTTCACATTGGTATACATCTCCCTCAAGCGGAAACATTTTTTAGTTATGAGTACCTAGTAATGACCTTACTTGTACCGCATTCAACTTAAGTTATGAGTACCTAGTAATGACCTTACTTGTACCGCATTCAACTTAACGGGACTCGTTTGCCTGAAAGGCTTGTCAGGAAGACTTTCGATACAAAGACCTTCACCTACTATAATCATACTCAACTGAGTTGGTCATCAGATTAACCATCAAATATGATACCATTGTTGGGTCTTTCTGAGGGGGCTAACAACAGGGAGATTTTCACAAATGGAACCCGAGTCAATCATATAAAAGAATATGACATCACCTTCAATCCAAAATCTTAAGGCATTAGGTCATGGATCTTTCTTCCTTATATGTTGCTCAACTTTCTCATTCTTACTAAATGTGGAACACTACTCATACTTGGATTATCCAACAATCTCTCCCTTAAGTGTGAGTCCTTTCATATTGGTACACCAATGACCCTTCCAAAGTTTCCTTTTTCTTTAAGTCTTCTGGTTGGAGCACATCAATCCTTTTTCTCAGTTCACCTTGCAGAAAATTAATATTTGTATCACCGTTAACAATAACCTTGTGGATAGTGGGATCCACAATGATGAGTCCCTAGTTGTCTCGGAGATGGAATAGGTCATCCTTAAGAGGATCATTAGGAGCATGGCTAAAATGGAGGCTTCCTCCTCACCCTTCATTTTTAATTTACTCAGTATTTTCTTTTCTTATATTTTTCACTTATTTTCGCTTTCCTTTTGTAGGCTCACTTTTTGCACATTCTTTTTGAAGAATACCACCTCTCTTGTTGGAAAAAAGGGTTTGGATACATAGAATATATGTGTGGGCAGCCCAAAGGTGTAAGACACTCATTTTTTATGTCCTACATCCCTTTTTGAAGAGGAAGAAGCTTGGCTTGCGGGTATGATTGTCTTGCGACAACTTAAAAGGACACACACCTCTTTTGTTATGTTTTCCACACCTTTAGAGGTATTTTTAATGAGCTAAGACGAATTTAACATATTTGGATCATGGAGACTCTAGCCTTTAAGTTTAGGTTAAGTTTAGGTTAAGTTTATATCTCATTTTGCAATTCCATCTAGGTCCCTCCTCCAAAAGCCTATAAACAGAAGGCTTCCCCTCATGGAACGAGGTTGAACATTTATGAAAAGTTTGTGAGGTTTCTTAGAGTGTTCCATATCTTTGAATGTCTTATCTTGAACCTTGGTTCAAGTGGCGGCAACCACCACTTATCTAGGGTGGTTCATCCCCTAGTGGCGTGTCAACACTCCACCACCACCATATTTCTCTTCTCTTCATCTTTTCTTCTTTATTTCTTCACTTCATTAATTTATCAAAGGGGCTAGTCCATTTTTTCAGCCCTTGTCTTTATTCTTTTATAGTTTCATTCCATCTCTTCCTCCCTCCATAATCCTTAGAAATGAACCTTCACATTTGGATAAACAACTATCTTAATGTCCAGTGAAATTTTTTTTTGGGTTTGCTTACTTTATTGCTTAAAATTCTGCACCTTACTTTATTTTTACATCACACAGGAAATACCCTTTCACATTGTTAGCATAGTCTAAGAATTTTTCTTTCTCGAATTTTGAAAACACAAACTTCCTTTTGATGCGGTACATCCATAATCTCCTAGAGTAATCATTGTCATCACTGACACAAAATATTTGGCTCCTCTTAAGGATAATACTGGCAAATTCAACACATCATAATAAATAAAGTTTAATATGTGTTTCCTCCTTATACAATTTGACAAGAGACTCCCAAATCTCGTTTATTGTATCCTTCTTCACAAATTTGTTATGTGTTTCCTCCTCATGCAATTTGACAAGAGACTTTCAAATCTCCTTCATTGTACCTTTCTCCACAAATTTGCTATAGCGTTATTGTAAATTTTTCCCCACCTTCGATCTATGATGCCCATGATCTTTCTCCAGTTACTTTTACATAATTGTCTTTTCTCAAAATTGTTTTCATCTTCAATTTCCACAATGAGAAACTATTCTCATTAAACTTCTTTATCTCATATTTTGTTGTCATCGTTTTAACTAACTTATGCACCTTTCACTATAAATAACATTGTCTAATAGAACAACAACGTAAATTGTAACTAGTACACCTGATAAGCTTCTAGGAAATAGAGGTGGGTTACTAACACACTTAAATATCAAGACTTTCATTGCCAGAACTTTTCCTAGACATGCACTGTCACACTACCACACTTTATATCTAGTAACTAGAATAACTCTTTTCTAATATACTAAGAATTTTCTCCAACACTATTCTAATGACCATAGCAACAGAATAATATCATAAATAAGAAACCAATCATCGGCTCTGATACCGCTATTAGAAATCAGAGTAACTGCATAAGAACTCACAACTAAAATAAAAGATGAGAAAAGAGAAACAAAACTGACAATAGGAAATAAAATAATTTTACTATTGGAAGAAATAACAATACCCTTTTTAAATATAAGGAGAAAACAATAATAATATTCACTCCCTGAAATAAGAGAACTCAACTACTATACAATGCACTAATAGAAAGGAGAATGAAGAGATTTGGGATGATTTACAAAGTAAACATTGTGCTTTTTTTATAACAAGAAAAGTAAGCACCAACATATAATTTTTCTGATGTGGAATTTCTCTACTCATATTCTCACAAAGTAAATGTGCGAAGAAAATAAATGATAGAAAGATAAATTTAACTCATTACTAAGGATAAAATATAAATTAGTAGAGAAAATCAACTAAGATGGTCATCCAAATTGCAAAGAACTCTATTGAAAATGTTTGTTTAGTGTTTATAGTATTTTTCAGAGCAAGTACAATTTGACAATCACCCTTTTTATATTTATTTCCCCTATTTATATTTTTCTTACGTGTAACCGCTATAATAAAACTACCCAAATAAATAAAAGTTACAACTAGAGTAAAATACAGTTAAATAAAACAAAACAAATAAAAATTCACGAGCGATTACTTTATTATAATTGTCCTCCCTTTGTTCGACCCACATTGTCGCCACGTACCTCCTATTAATACGCTTGTATCATAATGAAATAATAATTATATCCACATATTTCTCGATTATGTTGTTTTCTCTCAATATCTCATCTTTGTCATTTTGCACCATGAGTCTCGATATCTTTTCCTTTTCAACTTTTGATATAGGATTAATCACATATAGGATATGTTATCTCTCATTATATTTCTCGACCCCTTTTTCAATAACCTTGATTCTTTTTAGTACTTTCTAATTATTCGTCACCTGTACTTTCAATCCCACAAATCTATGTTAAGTTTTCCTTTTATAACAGTTTCCTTAAATTAATATTGATCCTCAATCTTTCGATGTCTCCAATTATCAATATATTCTCTTAACAATTCTTCTTATTTCATGATTCATTCATTTCGATATATTTGTAATTTTACCTTTAACAGAATGCCCCTTAAGAGAATGATACATGTGTTTCGATGAATGTAAATTCTCTTATCCTAGATGATAAAATAACTCCAAAACGTTTTTATTCTTACTTTATTCAAAAGTTGCTTCATCCAATGTTCCATCATTGTATCGTCATTCATTTAGTCGACATTGACCTAAAATTAGGTTAAAATATTTGTATAATCAAATATGGGCCTACACAAAAGCCCATTACCAACCCCACTTTTCCTAGGAAATTGTTTTCTTTTAAATCAAAATGGTTTCATCTCCCTCACCACAACACTCATCCAATCTCTATTGTCCTCTAAACTTCCTCTACTTCCCTTCTTTCAACATTACTCACCCCAGCTACTTTCCTTCTTCATCAACCCTTTTAATAACCAAAAAATGGTTTCATCTTCCACAACCTCTTAACCTTCCAACATTCAACCTATATTCACCTAGTTTGTTGAAATTAATGATAAAACCTTCATGTCAGTTGTAGGATTACTAGGGGAATCCCAAAAACTCTGCTCAACACAGGTATTGTTCCCATATTCAATAAGAGGTGTTCCACTCGCCTTTGGATGACCCTTGATCCCTGATCCTGACAAACCAGAGGATTTTCCTTTATCCAATGAAGGAAACTCTATACTCCAACAAGCAATCAAGAAGTTCAAAGTGGACTTTCTCTCCCAAGCGTCCAAAGTATATTGCTCTGGGCCACAAAAAAAAAAAAACTCGTATCTCAAATGGTTTGATCGAGTCAAACCAAAATTCAAAAACCATTAGAAGAAAATTGGTATCTACAATTTTCTTCTTCTCTCTCGCTTCAACATCGACTATCTTGATATGTTGATGTTCCTATATGCACTCCAATTGTGAAACAAGGATCTCCATGCCTTGGAGCTTCCTTGTGACCTGTCTCCCCAACTCTCTTAACGTAAATTCTATCACATGTCTCAAACGTGTGGGAGGAAAATACCATATCAACGTTTTTCCACTAGTAAAGAGAATCGAGTCAAAAATCTGTTGGAACAAAAAAGTGTATGACCATTTTTCTCCAAGAACAATCCGTCGATGACCCATCAATTGAGGTTTTGAAGAAGAGCACGTAACTTTCCTCGTGTACTGGCTTTGAACACACGTTTTTTGTCCTCAATCAATCCAAATTTCCCCATATTAATATAACTTGGCCTTCCTACTTCATCGAGAAATCCCCATCATTTGTTTGGCCAAATGGTTTCTCGCCCACGTATATGCTGCTTTTGGAGAAGCAACCAACACCCTTCGATCCAATCGACCTGGTGGCAACCTCTCTAGTCCATTATAGTTCATTAATTATGATTGATAACCATTTTCTAATCGCGCCTTCCACACCCCTTAGTAACCTTTAGCTTAGTCCCATCATACCCTTTGGAAGGCATCCAATTAGTCACCTGTCATCCCAAACATTACAAACTAGACATCACCTTTCACAATTCTTACCTCAAATTCTTATTAGCATATATATAATTTGTTAACATCCTTGTTCCTTTATGGAAAATTGGTAATTCCCCTCGAGACATTCGTGGACAACCATGGTTGTAATCGAAGTCTCCAGCCGACACTTCAGAACTATAAGCCGAAATCATCGAAATTTAGAGTGTTTCTTAACTTAAGACATATTGGTTGTTGGATTCCAAATGAAAGATGTCAATTTTTTATCCTATGTCACTCAACACTTCTCACGCTAATTCAGATTGAGCCAAGCGTTCATCACATCCCAATTCCATTAACTCATTCCCTAAGGTGTTACCTACACCTACAAATATGGCTGGTTATATAATCTTATTCCCACATCTGGTTGATTCCATTGTACAATTACTTGGTTATAAGCATTTTGTTGATAATTCTCATTATTCTGATTATTCCTACGTATATTATCCCAAACGTGGAAGATTTGGTCCACATCTTGACCTCTATTGACCATTTTAATATCTATCAACGAATTATAATTTCCTTGTATATTTCAATTATTATTGTTTTGCTATCGAAGAGGTTCAACTTGATGATTTCTTATTTGCACATTGACATTTACCAAATTATTTCTCCTCAGAATAACAAGTGCATCTCTTATTCTTGTCATTTGTTCAGCAAATCTTTGAAAACTATTAGCGATTATCTGTACTAAAGGATTCAAGATAGTGGTCATTTATTGTCCCAACAACAAATAAACTATTTCATGATTACTATCATCCATTTGTTGTCTTATCACTCTTAACATATTACTTGATATTCTTGTGTTTATTTTTTCAAAATCGCCTTGAGGATTCCCCCTGTCATTTCCTAGTCTAAGCTGATTTTGACTTCGATCATTCATCCTACTATAATTTGGAGTTGATTACCATGATGACATTCCCTAGGGATATCTTTCAACTATTGCTACTCCCCAATTATTTCTTTGGTCTGATGTACCCACACTAGCATTATACTTTCCCAGTGTACCAGGTCTACTTGTTGTCACATGTGGTCCTATATAAGTGTTACCTATTGGATTATTTATTGGTTGTATTATTGATGTTCCTTAATTGCTTTGACTATAAGCATTTGAATCTATAATAACACCTGAAACATTTTCACTCACATGTCCTATATTCTGACCCTCATTATTGTCATTTGGCACAACACTAGATGTTAATGCGCATAGAACTTTGTGTGCTTTGACTTGTCATAATTATTATACCACTTTTTAATCTCATGCACTATTCAAGATAGAATCCTATCGGGTGTGCCAATTCCTTTTTAGTGTAAATAATTTGTTGTTCGATTTAATTGAACTTATATTCAATTACGCGATTAATCATTTAAATACCATGCAGGTTCGATATTTAAAACACAATATATTGCAACTAAAGATTGATCCACACAATTTTTATTTCCAATATAATTTGAAACATTTAAAGTAAATTATTAAAATAAAAGTAAATTGCTGAAAAATAAATGTGCGAAGAAATAGATGACAGAAAGATAAATTTAACCATTACCAATGATAAAACAAAAATTGGTAGAGAAAATAAACTAAAATAACAATCCAAATTACAAAGAACTCCATTGAAAATGTTTCTTCAGTGTTCGTAATGTTTTTCAAAGCAAGTTTTCGTACAATTTGACAATTACCCCTTTTATATTTATTTTTCCCTATTTATATTTTCTTTATATGTAACCGCTAAAATAAAACTACCCAAATAAATAAAAATTACAACTGAAGTACAATATAGTCAAATAAAATAAAACAAATAAAAAATCACGAAAGGTTACTTTATTATAACTGTCATCCCTTTCTTCGACCCCACGTCGTTGCAACGTACCTCTTATTAGTGTGCACATATCATAATAGGATAATAATTGTCTTTATATATCTCTCGATTATGTTGCTTCCTCTGGATATCCCATCATTGTCATTTTGCACCACAAGTCTCGATGCCCTCTACTCTTCAACTTTCGATATTGGATTAATAATACATAGGACATGTTATCTCTCAATATATTCCTTGACCCCCCTTTTCTATAACCTTTATTATTTTGAGCACTTCCTAATTATTTGTCATATGTACTTTCAATCCCACAAATCATGTGTAAGTTTCCATTTTCTGACAATTTCCTTAAATTAATATCGATCCTCAATCTTTCGATGTCTCCAATTATTAATATAATCTTTTAACAATTCTTCCCATTTTGATAAATTTGTAATTTTACCTTTAATAATAAGTTAAAAATGGGATGCGATGATTTTATTTGTTATAGTCATAACGAGTTGTAAATCTTAGTCCGTCTCGTCAAAGGGTGGATTGGTAAACTATTTCGCCATAATCTTTTTTAGTTAATTTATTTGTATTTTAAATCAAAATTTTTAATAATATTATCATTTGTTTGTCAACCATTTCCCACATATATATATATATATATATATATATATATATATATATATATATTTCAAGTTAATAATATAAATTGACACACTATCTAAAGAAATTATAATTTAAAATAATCAAACTAATATAAAATTTATACAATAATAAATACATGGAAGTAACGTCAAAACTTGTAAAATATTTATTTTTTATATTGAAAAATTTAAACACCTAAAATAAAAATTTATATTATATTTTTTATTTGATAAAATTTCAAATTGTTCCGTTTTATATTATTCTTATAACTTTAATAGCAAGAACAATAGGAGCTTGTATTTAAGAAAAGAAAGTATTTTTCGTAAGGAAAGTGAGACTTTTTAATTTTATTTTTCACAAACTTCACCTTTTTGCCTTTGTAATTGACTATATTACAATAATTTTTTTTGTAATAAATTAATTAAGTCGTGGGATTGACCTGTCTCATCCCGCAGTTGGTCCAATGAGTTTGGTGATACGAGTTAGAGTGGGAAGACAGGCTAAAAATATTAATCTTTCCTATCATATTTATAATGGGTTGGTGGGTTGAGCTCGGACCTTACTCGTTCGTCATTCTTATACCTAGGTATTAAAATAGATTTAACATTACACACCAGAAAAACTCTAAATAAATATATTAAGCCCAAAAATTTGTAATCTTAATTAAATTATGTTTTTCTTTTTTTACTTATTTAAATCATGAGTTATATTGATTTTATATAATAATAATAATTTTAAAATAAAAATAATAGTATTTTGTTAATATATATATATATATATATATAATTTATTTAATAAAAAAATCTCTTATTTTATAAATAAATATAATAGTAATTTTTTAATTTTTATTCTAAAATTAAATTAATATATTTTTTTGTAATTTATATATTTAATAATTATATTTTAAATAAATACTACTTTTTGTAATATAATTTAAATTTTTAAAATATATTTTTATATTATTTTTGTTTAAATATTTTTAAATTAATTAATTTGTTATGAATATCATTTGTTTAGTTTTTAATCAAGTCAAATTTAAATTTTTAATTCTTTGATTTAATATATAATTAAGTTAAACTAAAAATTATTACTTTTTTACCTTTTTAAAGTATAGATAAAATTAAATCATTAATTTTTTATTTGACTAATAACGTCGTATCATATTAAATTTAGGGATGGCAAAACGGTCACCACTCGCTTTGGCTCGTCAGCTTTGGCCGCCAAAAGCGGACGTAGCTGTCTGGCCGATATAGTCATGACGGTCGTAGACCTTGGCCGCCTCGCCAAGGCGGGTTAGTGGCTGGCCCGCCATAATTTAGAAAAATAATTTTTTTAATAAATTTAATAATAAGATTATTATTTGTTTGTCAATAATTCAATATATATATATATATTATTTCAATTTAATAATATAAATCAATACATTATTTTAAGAAATTATAATAATAATAAATAATAACAAATATATATATATTTATATATATATATATATATATATAAATAACGTTAAACTTATAAAATTTATATTTTTTATATTGAAAAATTCAAATACGTATATCTTTTTTATTCGATAAAACTTCATATTATTCTTGGTTGAGTAATTCTTATACCTTTAATTCAAGTAATAAGAATAAATATAATCGAGTACTTAGGATAAATAAGGAGAACAGGAGAGGAGGTTATATTTCGGGAAGGAAAATATTTTCTCGTGAGAATTAAACTTTTTTAATTCTCTTTTTAAAATTTTAACTTTATATATTATCTTTATAATTAATTTTATTACAATAAAAAAATATTTTTTATTAATTAGGCGGCCGCAAGTCGGCTCGCCCGTCTCGCGGGTTGGCCCGACGGTTGGCAGGGCGGCCAAAGCGGCTGGTGGGCTGAAAATACCAACCCGCCCCCATATTATGGCGAGTTGGCAGACGCCTACGATGGGACCTAGCTTCGTTTTGCCATCCCTAATTAAATTAGATCTGATTTTGACAACTATTAAAATATACATTTCTATTCATATTTTATGTTAAAAATTATATTAAATCTTTGAAGGGTACAAAATTATATTTTAATTTATATTAATGTAATAAAAGATTTTTTTCATTATAAAAAGGCGTCAAAAATTTTAAAACTAAATAAAAATATACACGAAAGATTAAAAAAATATATGTAAAAAATCAAATAAATCCGTTTTCATTTTAGAATGATAAAAGTATATGACTGCGGTAGACGTGATAAAATCATTAAACTTTTGACCTGAAAATTTTATCTAACTACAAAAAATTATAAAATAAAATAGTCTATATTATCTATTAATAAAGAGAAAAATTTAAAATATTACTATATTATTTATTAATTGCCGAAATATAAAACTATTCAATGTATTAAACAGAAATACACTTAGGTACATATTTTAAAATAAAATCAAATTATAGTGTTTATATGTAATATGTTATCACTTAATAATAATAATAACACAAAACATATAATTATTAAACCAATACTAATTACATATTTCTTTTCAACAAACTTTTGAATAATAAAAATACACTTGGTAAATCTTGAATTATAAGTAAAAATAAACTCTTTATTTTTATAAAATTACAAAAAAATAATAAAATTATTATGTATTTTAATTTATTATTTTAAATTCCAAATTACTGCAACATAAAAGTTAAACTCCTTGGATATATTATATTTATCTAAATTAATTATTGGATAAAAACTTAAAAATTATTCTATATAAAAAAATATAATAAAAAAACAGAAAAAAAAATAAAAAATAAAAATTGATGGATCTCAACCTGTTTTCTAACGTAACGATTAGAATATGTAGCTCACCATAATTACGATGGACCAATCCGTGGACTATCCCGTTTTTGGACTTTATATAAACTAATGATTTGTAATACTTTCCTCTTACCTTGAAAAAACATCAGTAAAAGTTAACTTTAACCAAAACAAAAGAAAAAAAAAAGGAACAGGAGAAAGTGGTGACGATGAGGTGGGGTCAAGAAATCAGAAAAATATGAAATCCTCAAATCACATGGCACAGTTGGATCGCAGAAGCAAAATCATCTCCAACGGGTTCTCAGTGTCCCCGTAATTTAATCCAACGCGGGACCCACTTTCGTCAATTCACGACGCGGCGCCCAACGTTTACACCTAATCCCCTCGTCCCATCCATTTTAAACCCCATGCGGAAATTCCAGATCTACCCTCATCATTTCCGTTCCTCTCCATCCTCGTACCCCTCATTTCTTTGTCGCCATCTCCATTCCCCTTTTCCTTTAAACCCATTCATTCCCTTTCAACATCACAATGAATCATCGCTGACACTGATCGTTCACTATTATAATCGTTATTCGATTCCGAACGAGTTTTCACCGATTCCACTCACTCAACATGAGCCGATTCAGGCGATTTGAGCTCATTGAACACCCATTCCCTCTATGCTACTCCTCACCCTTTCAAACCCTAACTTTCCCTTCCTTTCTCGAACAATCTCTTGACCTCGATCTCGACCTGTTGCTAGTTCCGGGCCACTTCGACGCCGTCGCGGATCTGCTTCACGCGCCGTCGTTGGCCTACCAGCGCGTGGCGAGGCAGCTCGAGACTGAGTTGCGCTTGCAGAGCCTCAACGACCGCGTGGCGGAGTTGGAGTCGCGGTTTGACCGTCTGCTAGGCGGCGATCGGAAGTACACGTGGACGGCGGAGATCAAGGGAGCGGAGAAGAATGGGTTTGACAGGAAGTACAAGTGGGTTGCGGAGATCGTTGAGGAAGAAAAGAAGAAGCAGGTGAAGAAAGTGGTGAAGGATAAGAATGTGACATGGACGATTCAGCTGGAGAGTGAGGGTGAGGAGGGAGAGAAGAAGAAGTTGGTGAAGGGTGTTGCGAAGAACGTGAAATGGACGGCTGAGATCAAGGGAAAAGGGGAGAACAGTGGGAGCTCTAGGAAGTACACGTTTCAGGTAGAAAGTGGAGATGCTGAGAAGAAGGAGAAGGTGAAGGAGAAGGAGAAGGAAAAGGAGAAGAAGAAGGGAAATGGATTGCGCATTGTGGAGATTCACGAGCCAAGTAATCATAGAGATGTTGTTTTGAGACAGGTTGGGTAGCTTTTCAACATTCTGTGAAACTTGACATGTGATCTTGTTTGGTTTTTGGTTGCTTTGAATTTGTGATTTCTAGTTGGGAGCTCAATAATTTGGTTGTTGGTTGGTGGGTGAGCTAGTGTTGGGAATAATATCAGGGCCATATGACAGTGATGCATTAGATTTTGACTATTGACTGTTTAATGCGACGTCGTTTCTCCCTTTCTATGGGGATCAGCTATTGCTTGCACTTTGCATGTACCTTTTTATGGTCTATTTTCTTTTGGGTGTGAATCTATGTAGACAAGTTAGTAGGAAGTAGTGAAAATGATTTGGTTTTAACTTGAAACATTACTTAAGGTGAAATCTGATTTGTGCTTGTGACAGTTATTATGCATTGTGCTTCCCCTTTCCTTCCCCAAAGAGCGAGTTACAGATTTAAGCTCTGAAAGTTCCTTATATGGCCGGGGTTCAGAGACTGGACCTTGTGGGGGGGAGTTAAAATGCCACTATTTAGCAAGCAGGAGTAAGCTAATACAGAGTTTTATGCTGTCTGAATAGTCCAACTAATGCCTTTTCAGAAAACAAAATGGATTGGATAAATGGAAAAGAGTCAAGACTTAGTTGAACCTTTTGATTTGGATAGGAAATGTGATGTTATCTTTCTAGCCCATAGTGTGACTAGATAGGGTTAAATAGTTGTTGTATATGGATAAATCTAGTTAAATTAACGTTGCTGGTTACATATGTACTTGTGACTTGTGATTTATAATTTAATGAAACACGTAGTAAGTAGAAATAGGTAACTACTAACTGTAGCGTCCAAAGTTAAAATCCGAACTATGGAAGGTATGCTCCATTTCAAAGTTTACTAACATGCATTTGCTGTCTATTTAATGCTTCTTTCACACGCATCTGCATTTCTCTTTGAAGAACTAGAATTCATTCCTTAGACCTTGCATATGTCCAATTTAAATTCAAAATAACATGCAAGTTTATCTGTTCAGGAGATTGCATTTATTACTAATTGTATATTCTGGAAACTACTTGCACGTATTTATCTTTCCTTAGGGATTCTCTTCTGTCTGAATTTGCTCACATTATAGCTCTACATCATGTAATATGTATTGCTTCTGACAACATCTTTGAATGAGTAGTTAATTGGGGGTCACTTCTATGTAATTGTATTTTCATTCAATGTCTTGACTTTTGTTTGTTTTATTGTTCAAAATAAGAAACCTGAAATGCCAGACTCATGGCTAAAACCTTGTTCATAAACATGAACTAAATTTTTGTTGACGATGAGCTTTTTCCGTATCAGCAGTTGCTCATTCTTCATAATTGTGCTCTGGCATTCTGTACCAGGGGTAGGAGATGATTTGTTAAATTTTTTATCAGCTAGCAGACTGAATTTATGTTTACAAATCAAATTTCATGGATGAAATCTGTATTTCAATACATATTCTTCTAAAAGACGGTGTTGCTTTATCAAATAAACATGTTTGTGAAGATTGGACTTTCAGTTGGAGAAATATTAGCGGCTTTTCACCTTTATCTTTGATGTATTTTGTAATGAATTTACTACATTTAGAATATGAAAGATTACCAATAGGCTGACTTGTTCTGTCTGCCAACTTCTTATTGAGGAAGGCATTTGCCAAGAGGTTTGGAGCTGTTCAAAATAATAGGGGTAAAAAGAAGGACTTGTCTCCTCAAGATGCTGCTTTGTTGATCCAGATCAGTTTTAGAGCTTACTTGATCCGCAGGTCAAAGGCTCTTCGCGCCCTTAGAGAACTGGCTGTTGCAAAATCTAAATTAAAGGAAATCAGAGCCCAGTTCAATAACTTTTCCTACCGACGTCATGTAGCTCATGATGCAGAGGAGCGCCAGCGGTTTTCTGAGAAAATCATCGTCTTGCTCCTCACTGTTGATGCCATTGAGGTAGTGATCTCCTTTTGTAAATATCTCTTTATTGAATTGATTGAACTTTCTCCAAAATTTTGAATTCTGCTAAACATCATACCAGATTTTAATTTAGTTGTAATTCTGTAGTTTACTTTCCTCGTCCAGAGTAGAATATAACCTAGAAGTAAACCATGTATGCGTATACAATTTTTGAATATTCATAGGCACCTCATATTGTGTTTTTATCATAATCCTTACTACTTAGTTTAATTGTTGGAGAATCTTACTGGACACTGCATCTCGTCTACATGTCTCTAAGTTTGGTTTAGGAGTTTGGAGTTTAAGTTCTCATTAGTCCTAAAAATTTCTAACCAATATTCTGATGATGTGAATCATGATAAAATATATATTCTGGATCTGGAGTAATATTGTGCGCAAAATGACAGTTATTGAAAAGTCTGAGTATCTAAAATAAATTAGTATAAACCATTATATTTTATCTGTTTAGTCACGGTGATCCTAGCCAGAGAAACAAGAAGGAACTGTTTGCAAGTGGGAGAATTAGGAGAAATACTTGACAGTTGTTGTACACCATAAAGATACAGAAAATCACCATTTAGCGGTTTATCCTAACAGGTTTGTTCATTGTAGGGAGCTGATATTATGGTAAGATCAGCGAAGAGGTCAATGGTGGATGAGCTAGAAGCAATGCTTGATGTGGTAGATCCCCAGCCTGGTAGAAGATCAGCATCACTCTCATTCAAAAGAAGGACATTTGATATGCCTGATGGAGTCATCCGGAAGGAAATTGAAGAAGGGGTTGCACAGGTTGTGCAAATGCTTGAAGAAGCAGAGAATAGCAGCAACACCTTTGGAGCATAACTGTGAGATCAAGAAAGTAATATTTATCCTAGTATTCCATGCTTTCCTTCTGTTGTTGTAGTTTGTTGGTAGGCGTATTTAGTCCATGTTCAAAAGACTTCTAAATTAAGGCTTTTCATCCAATCGTATTTATTTTACTGAACTTTTTAGCACATTCTGAATGGAAAGATTGGCTTGTGTTGGAGCTGTGTTATACTGTTATTTAACCATGACGACTTAGAGAACCTTGCTCATTTGTATCTGTCTTTTGTTGTCCACAACACATGGGTTATTTGCACTTCATTTAATTTCTCTGGTGTTTTATTAATTCATCAGTAATTTCCTCTCAATTTTAGAGTAAATTATAAACATTATTAGATTGGTAAATTGAAAAGATTAGAACAAAAATGCATTGAACTTAAGTGCTTATTGCTTGATGCGATGTTCTGTCTCTCTCTCTCTTTGTGGTTATCGTTTCATTCTTTAGGACACATTCAGATTATTCTTAGTTTTGAAAATATCAGAACTAGCATTCTTGCAGTTTGCACCACTGCCTGAGTTGTTGTATTGCTCTGTAGGGGTTGAAAAATATCTCATTCATGATGTAAGTGACATGGTTGTCCTCTACAGCTTTTAACCCAAATGCTTGTGACCAAAAGGAAAAAAAAAAAAATACTGAAGCAAGTTCTAATGTGAGACGTAATGGAATTAATTTAATCAAATTATTGAAAATAAGATGTTTTAATGTTAAGTATTTAAATATGTCAATTTATTACTTTTGAAATTGATAATAAAGTCAAATTATTTATAATGATCAAAAGTAATAGTATATTAATTATAGTTTTGTATATCATCTTTTACGTCTAAAAATATCACAGGCAATACGCGCATGATAGGTATTGAAAACGTCTTTATTATAATAATAAAAAAAAAACTCTTAAAAACACTCCTAAAATAGACGTTCAAATTTATAATCTAAGAAATTAATAAAGGATTACAGGTTAAATACGGCAATAAAGTAAACTAATCGTTAACTGGAAAATATTATATTTCAAAATGTTGCATTTCTTGACAAATAATTAATTCAATTTAAAACTAAAATTATTAACACTCTCTCTCACTCCTCACAAAGCATAGCATATTTAATGGGGTACAATGGCCTTTAGTCAAAAAAAACAAACGGAACTGGCACCAGCTGGCAAATTCAGCTAAATGAGATCTGCTGCAACTTAAAAAAAAATATATAGTGGTTTTTTGACGTGAATTCCAAGAGAAAGATTTGATAATATTTTATTTTAATAGAAAAATAAAAATATATATTTTAATTACTAAAAATAGCATAATTTCAGATTGAACAAATAAATAAAATAAATTATGCTTTTTTTTCTTAAAAATTTATGCCTCCTTTCTCTTATTAGTGCCCTTTTTTCTTTCATTTTTTCTCGTTCTTTCATTTATTTAATTATTTTTTTCTCTCCACCTTTTAGTATTTTATATTTTTTTCTCGTCTCTTTTATCTTATCTTTTCTCCATGTTATCTTTTGATATTTTTTTTATATTTTCTCTCTATCAATATCAAAATTATTAATGATCTATATTTTTAAATAATTAAATATCATATATTTTTATTATTAAATTTTAACATTTACCCATTTATTTCATAAGGTTAATATCAAAGTTTTATTTTTAAAATAATTATGTAACCTTTTCCATTAAAAAAAATGTAAGTACTGTCTCAGGTTAAAATAATAATAAAAAATGAACTAAGTTATCGAAATAAAAAAAATAATAAACAGTTTAAAATTTTAAAAATTAAAGTTTTGAAAATTTATAATTCAAGATGAATGAAAGAAAAGGAAGAAAATTTATCAGCTAATGTTGGTTGGTCTGGCAAAACACATGCTTCAATTAGGGTTTACGAGATTCATAGTTTGTAAACAATTGTTACAATTAAGATAATATAATCTATTTCTCAACACATGCAAAATATTAGGCAATTACGCAGTCGGTATTTAAAAACAAATAAATCTTTCATCTATTAAAAAAGAAAATCTCAACATCATTTATAAATAAAAAAATCTAATTTAACTTTACAAAATTAATATATAATAATTTATTAATTTAATTCTATTTAGTAAATAATTTGAATATATTTTATCTAATAAATAATATCATAATAATAATCTACCATTGAAATAAATTATAATATCATGTTAAAATGATTCTTTTATCAATTTAATATTATATTTAAAAAAGTAAATATACATCTAACTTAAATTAATAAAATAAAAATTGTATATTAATTTAATCATGTATAAAAATATACATTATGTATAATAATTATAAATAAAAATAATTAACCAAAAAACATTTTGAGTGAAGTGAAGTAAACTTAGTTTAGATCGTTCACATTGAATATTTCAAGATTGGACTCTGTGAATTCATTGCCCTATTCTATTCTATTGTCAACACCCTACCAAGAAAACACCTCACTCTCGTATGTCTCGCTTTATGTCACGCCGTTGAAAGTTTCAAACCATTATTTATTATTTTCAAAGAAATTGGAATCATTTTTAACTTGCACGTCAACTATGTATTCATTGTTATTTGTAGTTTTTAATTTGTATTTACATTTTTATACGTAAAAGTTAAAATGAAAGCTTATTACTTATAAGAAAATAAATTATATTTTAATAATTGAAAAAAAAATCAAAATTATACTAAATTTTGTTGGTTGGCTTATATTTGAGTATATGCTATGATAATAATTGATATTTTAATTGTTCAACAATTTCGTCCACCTATAATTTTACAGAATATAGGAAAAAAGTAAGTTTATTAAAAACAGTTTATTGATATAATTGTCTAGCTAAAAATTATTTTATTTTTCTTAATATATAAAAATAATTATACAATTTTATGGGTGGCGATTGCCCTCAGTAAATAAGGATGCTATTATATCTTCCCTAGTTATTGATGTGAACATAAATTTCGTGTATCTATCCACATTATACAGTATTTACTTTTTGTATAATGTTCATTTTATCAGTGATAGATTAGATGCTTTTATCTCCTTCATTTATTAATCTATCTAATAACTTTATTTTTTAATATTGTAATCTTTTAGTTTTTTTTTTATTATTATTATTGTTATTTCTTTTACTCTCTATATCATCTCTTGAAGCATAAGTTAAAAGGAACCTACAAATTGAAACCTTGAATTGGATCCGATCTGATCTGAGGTGGGTAAAGGGTCCACCACCGTGGAGGCCATGGCCATGCATACTTTAAGACAATGAAATGATGTTTCAGGGTAACTTAGAGTCACATACCTCACAAGTGGTTCCACATGTCCTAATCACACATAACCGCTTCATTAAAAAGAATTTTGAAACCATAAAATGAAAAAAAAAAATGAATCTAGATCAAATTCGAAACTATTTTTGACTTAAACTTTTTAAAAAGAATTAAGTAATTAACAGAAATGAGTTAGATTAATAGATGAAATAATAATTCTAGCTTTCACATTATGATCTGTTACTGCATAATCTAACAATCACTAAATTTAGGTAGAAGTATGGAAAGTCTGCTTCCAACTTCTGCATGAGACATATAAGCCAACCCTGATCTCAGAGTAATTGATGGAGACAAGAGACTAAATTGACGCTAGTGAAGCAACAGATTAGGTAGAGCTTTCACACAGTAATATATGACTAAAGTTGATGATGGGTGTGATTAGAAAGTTTGTGGTATTTATGATGTCATGCTTGCATTGCATAGGATTGCATATATGTGAATCACTGAAAATGGAAGAACAAAGATTATTATCATCTCATCAGCATGGGACCAGATGGACCTTTACAGTACCAAAACACCTCCCTTCAACATCTTCACCACTTCCAATTAGATATATATGCCTTAATATTTTATATGCATCACCTCTTCTACCTTGCCACTCTTTCCCTTTCTAAAACATTTTATAAATCAATATTTATTAGTATTTAATGTAATTAAAAACATTTGTAAGGTGGTGAATGTAATAGAAGGAAATAGGTGTGAAGTTGGGAAAATTTGACAGCATTATTTATTGTTACTGTAGACACGTGTCTCTGTGATTGGGGTTGACAATATCGGTTATTGCATGAAGGCCCATACCATGCCACTTCACCTCGTTATGAGGCCATCATTTCCCGATGTGGACCCCATCTTGCCACGTGGGACCGTCTCACTGGCTGTTTCCGACAAACCCCACCGTCACCGACGACAACCACTCGTTCCCCGAAAGCGACGACACGCTTGCACACGTCGTCCCCACGTACGTGGCGGGCCCCGCACCCCAACGTGGCCACGTCGACCTCGTCTCATTTACACGTGTCCAGACGCGCTTTACCTCCGCCACGTGTCTCCACATACTCTGCGGGACCCACTCCAGCAATTTCCTTTATTTTAAATTAAAAAAGGTTCGCGAACCAATGAAATCAAATCTTCGCTTTTCGTACTTTTGGTCATGCGTTAATCATAAGAAACCCACGCGCCGTCATGGGGGTGACGCGCTGCCAGCTTTAGAGTTGGGGAGTGGAGAGCACGCGCTGGGGAGAGAAGAGGAATGGAGTGAGGGAGTTTTCTGGGGGCGTATTTTATTGGTGGTGTTTCCCAATTCAACAACCGAACCGAGGAAGGTTTCCTTGTAAAGCACGTTTGCAAGGAGCGAAACGCTATAAATACCCCGTTTCTTATTTGCCATTTTCTTTCTTCTTCTCTTCGCTGCTTTGCCTTGCGTTTCTCTGCGCACCGTTTTGGGTTTCGTTCGTCCATTTTCTTTCTTTCTCAGCTGTTTATTATTATTTTCTCAGGTGAATATTATCGCGTTTCGTGTTTCTCTCCGAAAGTACGAATAACGCATTGCCTTCCCTATTGTCTCTTTGGCCATGTTTGGCTGCCCATAATTATACCCCATTTTTAGCTTCTGCCAAACAACAATTTGTGCCTTTTGTCTCCTTTCTGGGTTTTCTACCACTTTTTTTTTTCCTTTTTATATAAAAAAATTGTAGCCTATTTATTTGTTGGCCGCCAAACTTAAAATATCAGTGTGCGCGTGTCTTTTAATTTGCTTTTCCTCTTCTAACTGGTCCTTCTTTTTCGCTTTTGAAGATTATTCGACGAGAAGCTGCATTCTGAAGATTCATGACCAATCTAATTTCTTTCTTCCCGTGGTTGGAGCTCGTTTTTTAGGTAATATATTTTCATCAAACTTGTTTGCCCCTTTTCCTCTGTTTCTTTTGTTTGGTTTCCAATTTTTCCATTGCTTTACTTGTTTTGGGGTCCCGATTGGGTAAAACGATTGACATTCAAAAGGGACGGTGCCGTTTTGACTTGTGAATGTTTCGTGTTACCTTCGCTTTTAGTGATAATTATTATTCAATCTCGTGTTAGAAGTTTTGGGAACTGGTCAGAATCTAGTATTTCAAGCCACCTTTTTATTTTCTCTTTTCAACTTATTTTGATTGAACTTTTTTTTTTTTTCTAGTTAATCATATTCTACTTTGACCGATCCTTGAGTGATTGGTTAATTCCGTTTTATCAGTTTTGAGTTTTTCCCGACCGTGAGATGGGTGCTGTCGACTATTGATTCTGATTTGTCTTCCCCGGAGCTGTTTGTGATTGTGCTGATGTGATGTTCTTTGTTTACACCCTTGATTTTTTTAGTCTAATTGTTTATTGTCCTCATCATGTAAACTAATGTGAACCATTTAAAAGAATGCAAAATATAGAGGAAAATGAGGAAAAAGTCAATTTCTCAAGTCTACATCACCGTGTGTTTGATTTCCCGGTCTTGGGTTGTCTTTCGGAGTATTTTAAACTTAAACCGTTGAAATACTTGTAATTTACGTTTGGTTTCGGAGGAAATGTACCCTTAAAAGTTTGGGGAAATTTTTATTCTTCCTCATTCTTTATTGATAATCTATGTCAGTTTGTCTATTTCATCGCAGAATCTTTATGTGCTGGGTCCATTTGTATTATTCACTCCCACTCTTTGTAGGCCCAAGATGTGTGGTTGCATATGGTATTGTTTTCTTCCGTGTCCACTAGGTGGGGTAGTACAACTCTACATTATGCAGAAAATCAGTTTTTTCTTAATTGTTTCATTAATCATTGACAGCTTAGTACGCTAAAGCTGTTGAATTTTTTTATCTTCCTTTCTTTTGATAGTAGTGATATTTGGATTTTTTCATTTCCGATTTTTGTCAGTGTAGGGTAGTTTGTTTTCATATTTATTTTCTGCGATATGTTGTAGTCATCGTTAGTGATATCTATCAGTTGTCATATTTAATTAGTTGTTACTCTGTAGTAGATATAACTAGTTTGTCCATTCTTTAATAAATATCTGGAGCATTAATCGTTGTCATGTTCAGTTCGCACTGATTGAAACCTTTCCAGGAGTGGAGTACCCTTTAGTAATCAAGCGTGGAAGCATATTGTGTTTTGATTTTCTTAAAATGGTTTTCTTTTATCCCCTGTTATGTTGTTGAAATTGAGTTTATATGGAAAGATTCGAATCTGCAAGAGGACTTGACCTTTGATACCAGTCATAAGAGTGTCTCTTTTTGTCAATGTAATAGTTAAGGGACATATAGTGGGAAAATTATGCTATTTCTTCTGTTCATTAGCCGCTGTTGCTGTACGATTATATAAGCAACGATCTAGAATAAAGTCCAAGAATTGTTAATCTTCCTTTTCCCTTTGGCTAAATTATTTCCATTTTTATATTCTAATTACAAAAGTAAGAAAGAGTGTAAGTGCATAGAATTGCCGTAGATGCCTTTTCTCTTTCAACCTTTTCTTATACAAGTTACATGAATGTACATGATCGTAAAACCTATGTATTACTCAACCATAATTCAAGGTAAACCTCAATAATGTTTAGCTGTCAATTAAGGCCAACTTGTGCTCGGTGTATGTATATAGCTTACTACTAGTAGGATGGACCCTTTAACGTCTTTATTTGGATTTTAGTGAATTGCATTTTTAGACCAATCATTAATAAGAGGGATCCTTCTATTGAATAAATACATGATGGGAAGAATCAATAATACTTCCTTTTTATATATTTTTAAATGGTTAATGTTATGTAATTATGCTTTTTATAACATCGGTTCCTAAAGCTGTCTGCCTTCACTTTTCCGCTCCTTGCTTCCCATTCATGCTTTTGCTTGCTTCATGTGTTTCAAGTATAACTTCTATCCATCTCTAGCAGCTTTGTTATTTATTGATCATATCATTTTCCTGTGCTCTTTTTTCTCTCACATCCATCAGACCTACTAGTTTTTTTCCATTTTTATTGGATGTTGATTATTATTTAGAATTATTTTTCTTTTCAACATTTTTAAAGATCATGTTTTCCAATACATTCCCGCAACCCTTTTATTACTTTGATTGTTGATGGGAAGACGAACAAGTGGACTCAAACTCAAGATTTCCATTTGTTTAAATTATTCTTGTCACCTGATGTTCAAGTATTTCAAAGTAAATAAATTATATGATCATTATTTTCAGGAGCTCAGCAGTTGATGGACTGTTACCCCAAGAGCAGTGACAAGAAAACACTAAAGAGGTGGTTTTTTATTGATAAAAGAGTTGGGTGAAGTGGAAATCTGATAGATATTAGTTTGATCATTGCTCAATACTACTTAAAATTCTTGCATTGTTACCGGACTGTGAAGTGGGCTGAAACCTGGATCCCATGGACTTGAAGTCGAATCATACTCCTGTTCTCACTGATTCTGCACCCGTAACAAAGTCTAGACTGGGTGTGCATTCCAGTTTGTTGCCGTACTCCCATTCTGGGGCAACCTTTACACATGGAATGTTATTAACTATCCCGAGGAAGAAGACAGGGATTCTTGAAGATGTCCGCTGTAGTGGTTGGTTGGATGCCATGAAGTCATCTTCACCTCCAGCCAGGAAGATAACAAAGGATGTTAGCCATGGGTTTGCATCATCGGACTCTGATACTGCCGGTGCTTATTTTAGCTGGCTGGTATTACATACATCCCTTTTGGTTAGTTTCTGAATTTCACTGGTATAAGGGGGTTATTTATTCTTTTTTTTTTTCTGTGTTATTTTCACAGCTCAAATACCCATCTGCGCTTACATGTTTTGATCAAATCACAACCTATGCAAAAGGAAAAAGAATTGCGTTGTTTATGGATTATGATGGAACTCTTTCCCCAATTGTGGATAATCCTGACTGTGCGTTCATGTCCGACAATGTATGACACTCTCCTTGGGTTTACTATCCATAACATCATTTGGTTTTAATTGTTTTTCGATTCTTCTTTGGCTAATTATGATGCTGTAAACTGCAGATGCGTGCAGCTGTTAAAAAAGTGGCAGAATATTTTCCAACAGCAATTATTAGTGGAAGAAGTCGTGATAAGGTAATTGATCAGTTTTTAAAAGATACAAACAATTTCCTATCTATTTTTAATTTGCTCATCTATCTGAACGCAACTGCGCCGCATATACTCCTGTTCAAAAGAAGCTTCTATGTCCGTTGCTGGTTCTAACTTCAATGTTATCCGTGTTGGCTCAGGTATATCAATTTGTGGGACTAACAGAACTCTACTACGCTGGTAGTCACGGGATGGACATCATTGGCCCTGTTAGACAATCTGTATCTGATGATCACCCGAATTGCATTAGGTCTACAGACAAGCAGGTACTGGGGGCTTAAAGTTTCTCTGTCATCTGTTTTATGAATCTTTCTCTCACTTTCCAATCTTTTTAATTTATTTTTATTTTTTTAATTATATGGCATCTGTTATGATTTTTAAATTTACAGGGTAAGGAAGTAAACTTGTTCCAACCTGCTGCTGAGTTTCTGCCCATGATTAATGAGGTAGCTTTTAAATAATCTACAATGAATCGTCATCTTTCAATATTTTTTCTTTATTGAAACTTGATCCTGATTTGCTCGTGCTTGGGCAGGTACTTAAGTCTCTTGATGAGTGTACGAAAGACATTAAAGGTGCTAAGGTTGAGAACAATAAATTTTGTGTATCTGTGCACTACCGGAATGTTGATGACAAGGTATAGGCTTCTGCTCTTATGCTTGATAATTTTCTGCTAAGTTGATTTGCCTTTTCCCGAACTTATTACCCCCGTATGTTTGTAATTATTTTTCCTTTCAATTTAATATAATACAGTATTGGGATTTGGTGGGGCAACGTGTTCATGATGTTCTGAAGGGCTATCCGCGTTTGCGCTTAACTCATGGGCGGAAGGTACTGTTTGTATAGCCAAAGCCAACATTTTGACTCGTTATTTTCGAGAATATACTGTTCAGTGCTTTGACAAGGATGTTTTCTCGTTTATAATTAGTTTCTGCATACTATTTTCCAGGTTTTAGAGATCCGACCTGTGATTAACTGGGATAAGGGGAAAGCAGTCACGTTTTTACTTGAGTCGCTTGGTGAGTTCATTTTCTGTTTTTATTGGTATGGTTTCTTCCTTTAGTGATCTCTGTTCATTGTGTTGCAGTAATTGACATTATACGTACTGTTTTTCAGGGCTAAACAATTGTGATGATGTCCTTCCTATATATATCGGAGATGATCGGACTGACGAAGATGCATTTAAGGTAATATTTAACTCTCAGTGATGTTGTGGATTGTACCTATTTCCTGTATTTTCACTGTTTATTTTTTACCGTAATGCTGATTCCAAACAATCTGTGACAGGTTTTGAGAGAGGGAAATAAAGGTTATGGGATCTTGGTGTCTTCATCACCCAAAGAAAGCAACGCAGTTTACTCTCTTCGTGATCCATCAGAGGTAAATCTCACTTTTAACTGGGTTCACATAAGCCGTTTGAAAAATTTCTCATAGTTTCTTGTTCAATTTCTTTGAACTAATTCGATGTGCTTGTGCACGTACAGGTCATGGAATTTCTCAAGTCACTTGTGTTATGGAAGTTAAGCTCCTTAAAAAGTCTTATATAGTTTACGGAGGAGAATATACTCTACTATACTATACTACATCATAAAAAAAAAACAGCTTTTTCAATTTTGGTTTTCTCGGAAACATTGAAAGAGGTTTCCTGGAGCAGTTTTACGCACAGAAGACCTCTTATGATACCAACAGCGCTGTCTGTCGCTACCCACTTGTTTTGCTCAAACCAACTGCGTTAGCTGTAAATTCCTGCCTCATAATTATAAATATCTTCAAGAATTAAAGAGAATGTGCTCAGTTTTTCTTTTTCCCCCACTCGTCATTGCGGTTTCAGTTTTGATTACTATGTCTAACCAGTAAATGGGAGATACACATGAGAAATCATTCATTTTTTTCAATTCTTTTTGCATCTATTTTGATCGTTTGAATAATATAATTTATTTATGATAGCTTTTTAATAGATATTCTTGGCGATTATTGTTTTTGCGCATTGAAAAATAAAGGAAAAAAAAAAGCTTTTATAGTCCAATAATAATTTAAGGGACAGAAGTCCGTTCAAACTGTTAGTAAGTTAATTTAAAGTTTTTTTCTTTATATAAAAGGATTTCTACTGTAACATGTCTGTTTGGAAAAAAAGAACACTTTGTATACATATTAAAAAAAAAAGTTCAAATATCCAATTATAAATACTGTTTTAGTGAAAATTGCTATATTAATATATATATTTATTATTAACTTGTACTATTTTCATCATTAATTTTGTAATTTTTATTTACTCAAGTGTTGTGGTTGAAATGACAAAGGATGAGTAGTTTGGTAACTTTGAAATGAAAAAAATAAAACACAAAAAACTAAAGGAAAAATAAGTGGACTTCAATAAAATTAATTTCTTCCTGTAAGACAAAAAATTGGGCAGAAAGAATTGTGTTTTTGCTTCTTGACGTTGGTATAAACTAAAAATACTTTTTTTTTTAAGTATTATTTATTTAAGACATTAATAAGTTTATTTAATGAAATAAATTACAGATTGCTTATTTAATAAAATAAATATATTATGGATATATATAATAAAATTTGTCTATGTTTTTTGAATAAGCATAAAACAGACTCATCCAATATATTTTTACATAATTGGTTAATCAAACTATACATATCTCTCTCACAGATCATAAGTGCTTATTTCTCTTTTATTCTTTTTTTAACACATTTCTTTTTAATCAAATCATATAATTTTCATTCATTTTTTTTTTCTCGTCCATCAAAGAAGGGAATTACTACCCAGAATGTAAATGGGTAGTATCTATACCTCAAATAATTATAATTTTTTTTAGAAGAAATAATGAAACTAAAGAAGGCTTTTTCTTTATGCACTCCATACTCTCTCTGTGTGTCCCACATTCATTTAAAAAGACAATATTATTATTAATATAAATAAGTGTTAGATTCACTCCTCCTTAAACTTTTCGAAAATGTTATGAAATTAGTTTTCCAAATTAAAAAAGTGAACTGATTACGGAAGGTTAAACTGATTCCATGAAATGTTTTTGGAAGGATCATTCTAAAATATTTTTGAAAATCTTATACTAAAAAGTTTTTGAAAGAGTCAATTCACATGTGAAAAATCATTTATGAATTTAGTTTTCCGACAATTTTGTCGGTTAATTTTTTTGGAATGGTAAAATTAGATTCTGAATTACATAATTCAAAAACATAACAAAATTATATATTTATAGATCCATTCATCCAATAATTTTCCATATATTTCAGTCCGAAATACTTTATGAAATTAAGATATTATTATTATCTTTTAAATTTGAGGGTGTAAGAAGAAAGTACGAAGGTAGAGAAAGAATATACCCTAAAGAATTTGATAATAATGGCACGCTCAAGCTGGTCTCGTCGTTATTAGGGTCCAACGTTTTATGTTCCACCATCAAACCATAAATTATATCCTTTTAAATATAATTTTTGTTAAAATAAGGGAAGCATATAATTTAGATGCAAACTTTTAGCCAAAACTTAATTTTTATTTGTAAAAAAACTAATAAATTAGTATATTATTATTAATAATCTATTTTATCATTATTATAGTTTTTAAATTAATCTGGTTTGGTTTATGTAAATCCAATGTCACCGGATCTATAACTATAAATAAGTGGGATTAATTTATTTTTCAACTCATAATGTATTTATATACTCTCAATTATACACATCTATTAAAAGAAGTCATTAACAAGTTCAAATATATAAAATATACTTGTACTTAATAATATAGATATATTTGTACACTCGTATATATCCATTTTCTCAACTCGTATATATACATATATCTATTTTCTCAAGGATTAAAAGTTAAATGAGTTTATTTATAAGTTGATTCTTATTTTATTTTATATATTTATATATGAATCTCCTAATCAGGTATGCGACTCACTTTCCAAAGACATAAACTTGTTACTGGAAACATTACTTTATTCTAAAATTGGTTGACGAGAACAAAACAAATATACCAGTGAAAAAAATACAGAAATTGAGAGTAAAATTGATGAAAATTAGTAGTTTTTTTTTTCTTTTTTTACCAAGTTTATTAGTGTATTTATTGGTCCTGTTTTATTTAGTTGGAGAAGGTGGAAAGTGTTATATTTTCAGACAGAAAAGTTGTTCTAAATAGATGCACGAGATTGATGCAGAAATTTAGGAGGGAAAGTTGTCAATTCACAAGCAGTGCCTGATTTTCCTTTATTCTTCTCGAATCCATTATCCACCCAATCATTACACTGTTCACACACATGTTGCATAATTCATACAACAGAATTCATGTTTTGTTTATTGGCTATTTTTAAGAAGAATTATCTCGAAATTTTTCACAAATAAAATAATGATTCAATTAAATAAATAAGAAAATATGATATTAATTATCTTCAATAAAAAAAATTTAATTACCAATCTTTCTCACTTATCAATGTTATTTTCTTCTACCTATAATATCATTTGACTTTATATTGTGTCTTGCACGTTATTTTTAAAAATTTTCAACCATATTTACTGTAGTTACTACATAAAATGAAATACGTATAGAGATTGGTAACACCTCGCGTATTTCTCCAATGTACGAAATTACCAAATACTTTCAAAATTGGTATTAATCAGAGTTATGATACATGTTTTATATTACTATCTCTTTTCAGTAATACGAGCGAAGTTTACGTTAGTTCTTTAAATACAGCACTTTGAGAGCTTCAATTTTATTTATTTATTCACATTGGTTAGAATTTTGATAAAAATAGATAGTATTGAAACTTTAGAGAACACAAATAATATAATTTGATTAAATAATATAATCATATCAATCATTACATATTATATTATTTTGGAGTTCTGATTCATTATAATTTTGTTCATAAAAAATATTTTAAAAAATTAATATCTTGGCCACGTGAGAAAAATAGTAACCGTCAAATAAAATAACTGTATAATAGATTAGCGGCAACTACCTAAGCTAACAAGGTATGTACAGTCGAACAATAAAAAGGTGGTAAAAGCTAAGTTATTAGGATGTTTTTAAAGAACACAGTTAAAAATTTATGCTAAAAGACGAATAAAAATCTAAAGAATTAATTTCATAAAAATTCATAGCTCTCTTTATTTTTGAAATAAGTTGAGTACATATATATATATATATATATATATATATATATATATTTTTTTTTTTTTTTTGACAACGAGCGTTTTAATAGTAAAAACATTGTCATTAAATGTAAAATAAAAAATTCGGAAGAAGCAAAAAGTACATGTTCCAAATTTGTAGTCTGAAACTACAACACTGTTCACATTGAGTTTTTAATAACCTCTTTTCAACGGTTTGTTTGACCTACCCAAGTATATAGTATTTTAATTTTCAATACAACCGTCTAAGAAAAAGAAAATTTCAATACCAAGTTACGTGCACCCTTTGTTTGATGAACGGTCAACGAATCAGAAAGATTTAAGTTCCATAATTTCATCACTCATTCCACTAATATATGGATCAACCAATTTCTCTACAAGTTCTTCTAAAAAAGCTTAATTAAAGTTAGTCTATATATAAGTTGAAAACAAAATCTTTCATAAATATAAATATAGTTTGTATATATATATGTATATATACTTGTGTGTGTGTATATATATAAGCTTCACTTGGTGATGAATTTAGTCACATATTCAGTTCAGCTATCTATCATCATATAAAGGCAAAGACAATGAACCCTGATCCACAAATTCCCTTGCTGAGTCCTCCAGGTTTTCTAAGGAGGGAAAGTGGGGGGAGAGCACAAAAGGGTGCCCTTCTTTTCATTCTTTCCATCGTTTTCCTAATGTCATTGGCTGCACTCTTCATAAGCCTGCATGGCCATGAACCCTTAGAGAATAACATTCTGAAGCTTTTCAGTAAGGAAACCAAGTCCCTTCCATTGCAACCTAGAGGGGTTGCTGAAGGGGTTTCACCCAAGTCAAATCCATATCTGTCACTGAAAGGTTCATTTAATTGGACAAATGCCATGTTATCGTGGCAGAGAACAGCTTTCCATTTTCAACCTCAGAAAAACTGGATGAACGGTAATTCATTCAAGTGCTTATTTCATTACATTGTCTCTAACCAATAATTACTCACTCATCAAAATCTCAAGTTTACATTTGCTCTCCAAATTTTTAAAAGTATTTTTGGCTTACAAGTTCTTCTGAGATTTACAGGTCTTTAAAACATCTTTAAACTCGTTATTTCAGTCTATCCAGATGAAATTCAACCAAAACATAAGAAATACTATCGAACAGTATTTGTTTGACCACAATCACCTCTTTCTTCAATTCCTTTGGTTTTTATTTTCTACAATGAAGAGGCTAATCAACAGTGTTTTCTTGTCGTATATATTGGCGTTGCTGTGCGCATGTTCGGTTGTAATCTGCTTCAGATCCTAACGGTACGTCCTTTCATTTGCGAATTACTCTTTATATTATTTATCTTTTGGCTTAGTTTTTGATTTCTAAAACGCTGTTTTATTGGTCTGAATATTTGCTGACATACAAGAATCACCATTAAATTTTGTTATTAACCATATCTATATAATATTGGACTAGTATTTATTTATATAGAATCACTGCTATATATATAGTATTATGATAAATAAAAATGATGATATTTTGTATGAACAGTATATATATGTATATATATTACTATGCGGGGGTGAAGATAAGATTGAGGAAGAAGGTGTAGGTTTTGTGTTCATGGTGTAGAAGTGTAGTATTATTCTTAATTTAACAGTGAACATGAATAAATTCCAATTTAGTAAAGCAACTAAAACCGTGGTCATTTCATTCACTGCTTCTTTGTTACCGTCAACTTCGAATATCCATCACTAAAAGAATTGACAAGTTATACATACTTCCGTTTTTACGTTAAGTTATGAAATTTGAATTGTATGACTCTGCATTGGACAACGTTAGGGAAAAACTTGGAAGTTTGAGTGGGAAAAAAAAAAATTGAAACAACTTATATTAAACGCTAGCTTAATATGAAGTCTCCATGTTTTAGAGGTTGACGTTTGCTTTTAGTTTAAATTTGGCTACCACCTCTGGGCATGCCCAACACGTTGTTTTCAGCTGAAGCTAACATGGGTCCATCCATGATTTCATTAGAAGCACAAAGTCAATCTAGCTTTTCTTCTAAAACATAAATTTGATAAATAATTTAAGTTAGAGTTTGAAATTACTATTATTATTATTATTATTAAATATGGATTGCATTATAAATAAAATGGTACATTATTATTTTCACCGTTCATTTGAAAATCAGATTGGATTGGTTCAATCGCTCCACTGATCTATTATTTTTAAATAATCAGATTTTAATTAAATTAAAATAAAATCAATTGAATTTTCTGATTAAACGATAAAAAGAAAATTAATGTAATTTTTATAAAAAATATAATATATTTTAATTTTTTTTCTTTTTTTATTTATATTAATTAAATCATTTTGCATTTTTTAATATGTTTTATATTTATAATCTTTATTATAATTTATCACAATTATGAGAATAATCTTTATTATTATTTTAAAAAATTATTATTAATAAATTTATTATATACTTTATATTATAAAAAAATTATTTTATTAAATTCCATTCCCAATTTATATTTGAATCTATGATTTTACCGTTCAGTAATTAGTCCGGTCTCAAAATATTAGTTTTGACGCATATTGTTACGTTGCAGGTCCATTGTTTTACATGGGGTGGTACCATATATTTTACCAATACAATCCTGATTCAGCTGTGTTTGCCAACATATCGTGGGGCCACGCTGTATCAAGGGACATGGTTCACTGGCTCTACCTTCCCGTTGCGATGCATCGAGATTCGTGGTTCGATATCAACGGTGTGTGGTCAGGATCAGCCACCCTTTTGCCAGATGGCAAAATCGTGATGCTTTACACGGGTAACACTCATCAAAACGTGCAAGTTCAGAATCTTGCGTACCCCGCCAACCTATCCGATCCCCTCCTCGTTCATTGGGTCAAATATCCTGATAACCCGGTCTTGGTGCCCCCACAAGGGATTGGGCCGAAAGATTTTCGTGACCCAACAACTGCCTGGATTGGGCCGGATCAGAAATGGAGGATCGCTATTGGGTCGAAGGTCAACCGGACAGGTCTTTCATTGGTGTATAAAACCCAAGATTTCATCCACTATGAACTCAACGATGAGTATATGCATGGGGTCCCGGGTACGGGTATGTGGGAGTGCGTGGACTTTTACCCGGTTTCAGTAAATGGGTCTGATGGGTTGGATACATCCGTAAATGGGCCGAATGTGAAACATGTGTTGAAGTCCAGTTTGGATGACACAAGGGGGGATCATTACGCGATCGGGACCTACTTCATTGAAAATGATACATGGGTACCCGATAACCCGGATGAGGATGTGGGTATCGGGTTGAAGTTGGATTATGGGAGATTTTATGCGTCAAAGACATTTTATGACCAATACAAAAAGAGAAGGGTCCTGTGGGGTTGGATCAACGAATCAGATAGCGAAACCGCTGACTTGAAAAAGGGTTGGGCATCTCTTCAGGTATGGAACATTTTTTTCTTCTGTTCCAAACACAACCAATAATGTTAGCAGAAATTATTTAATAAATCTTGTGTACTTTGATATCAATTGAGATCAGATAATTTATTTCAAGGTATCTAATTTGAATTTAGTTTTCCAATAGACAGTCTTGTAAGTACTATACTTGCTAAGTGTATCAGCATTTTTCAGTTTTGAATTTTTACAGACCTAGTATTAATTTGAAAAGGAGCTCCAGCAGCAGAAACAGTTATTAAATTTTACAAGTGGTGGTGATTCAGTTATTTATGTTGTTATGAATTTGATCTCATCCAATTTTTTCTTTTGGGGAAATCAGAGTATTCCAAGAACAGTGGTGTTTGACAACAAGACTAGAACTCATTTGCTTCAGTGGCCAGTGGAAGAAATAGAGAGCTTAAGGCTTAGCAGTTATGATTTTGAAGAAGTTGTGGTTAAGCCTGGCTCGGTTGTGCCACTGGACATAGGCCCAGCCACACAGGTTTGCTAATAGCATTTAGCTAATCACTTAGTTTTTTGTTGCGTAAGTTGTGAAAAGTGAATCGATACATTTCTTGAAAATTTTTCAGTTGGACATATTTGCTGAATTTGAAATAGAATATTTAGTATCCCAAACTGGCAAGAAGGAGGACGATGTAGGGTGTGGAAATGGAGCTGTTGACAGAAGTAGTTTGGGACCATTTGGCATTCTGGCTATTGCAGATGACCAACTTTCTGAGCTTACACCAATTTATTTTCATCTTTCTAGTACCACCAGCAGTTTAACCACTTCCTTCTGTGTTGATGAAACAAGGTACTGACAGTTTTCATTTGTTCTTACTTGCATAAAAAAAAAAAAAAAAAAAAAGAGAGACCAAAACCGTGAAATCTAATCTCATGAGTATGACATGTTATTGGATACCGTAGGTCTTCTAAGGCTCCTGATGTTTCAAAACTCGTTTTTGGAAGCCGAGTTCCAGTGGTCAGTGATGAAAGATTATCAATGAGGGTATTGGTAAGTGTGAATCAAGAAATGCTTACACATTTAAGGTGAAGGATAGAATTGTTTTGTTGGTTAGCATTATGACTATTAAATTTTGAATATGATGATCTCAGGTGGACCATTCAGTCATTGAAAGCTTTGCTCAGGGAGGGAGGACTGTGATCTCATCAAGAGTTTATCCAACAGAAGCAATATACGGAGCTGCAAGATTGTTTGTGTTCAACAACGCAACAGACATAAACATCAAGGTCTCCCTCAAGATCTGGCAGTTGAACTCAGCTTTTATACGTCCCTTTCCCTTTCACCACAAATTGTGAAACTGAAAACTATGTTGTGGAGTAGGGTATACTATTATTGCCCCTCCCATGAAAAAAATAAAAACAATGAAAATCTTGCGGCATCTACCATACATATATAAATCTGTGAAGTTTTAGCCTGAATTCCTGATGCTAGTGCCTGGTACCCATAACTCAAGCCTTGGATTGGATTCATATTATTTGGGACTAGTCAAGCGATTAAATTTTACCCATTGAGTAATTATATATGAAGATCCTCCTAAATATCATAATAATGTCTATTTTGTTTAAGAAAAACTTTATACACCTTTGAGAGAAAAAAAATCTCAAAAAAATTAAAATTAACTTATATATAAGTTTCAAATTTTGATTATAAATTAATTTTAGTGTGTGAAAAAAATTATATCATATATATATATATATATATATATATATATATATATATATACATATATTTTATTCTGAAAAAAGAAGTTGAAATAGTCCGTTATAAGAATGTGCATGCATCATTATTTTCTCCCCTTATTGGTGCCATCCCTAGATTCATATTTATCCATTTTTGTCCTATTATGATATTTCTTATCAGCGGATATTTATTCGAGAATAAAACTATATAAACACCGTCTTCAAAATGATTCCTTTAGCGAATTAATACTTTTAATTATAAAGTAACGAGCAAGAGCCAGAAATGGGCAATGATAATGAGTAAGAAAAAAAAGAAAAACACAAAATTTTCAATTAGATTATACTGAATGGCACTCAGCTTTCTTCAGAAGCATTCCTTGATCATTTTTAATATAAGCCATCCACTGCAAGTTATATAATTTAATTTGAATGATTGGACCCAACTTATTTGCGATGCAAGAAAATTCGGATTTGACTAGATTTATTGATATTCATATGATATGATTCCTCGTTCTGTAGTACAGGGTGCAGCATAACTAACAACGCGATCACGATAATATATATATCAGCCAATCAGGGGAACTGTTTTGTGGATTTGATCTGATTTAATAATAGTTTAGCTCAGCACCGTTTTATGATTAACTTTCTTCTACTTTACTTGATTCCTGGTTTTATTCCGACTGTATTCAGTTTAAGTTTAACCAAACGCTGAATCATGGCTTCTTGAAAGAAGAATAGAAGAAGTCTCACCATCACTACCCTTGTTGAATCTTCTCGTGACAGTGAGAAAAATGTGGGGTTTTAGAGAGTGAATAAGGGGTGGAGGCAATGATAAACTTGAAACTTTTGGCATGCCACATATAGCAGAGCAGAGGATCCAGGAGGAAAGGAATTATTGGTGTTAATTTAATGTATTGTGGAAACATGGAAAAAGCAGTCTCTGGTAGATAGGTGCAGAACAGAGTAGCACTAATAGCATAATATTACTTTGCCACTTTGATGCAGGGTATGTATAAGCAATACAGTTGCGCACACAGTGAATGAGGAATAAAGGTTGTGCAGAAATATTTTAGTGAAATGAACCATATTCTATGGGTACAAGCAGCTTTAGTATCACATGCTTTGATTTGATTTATGATGAAATTAATTGGAATCCATAGACTAGTAAACAAAAAGTTAGTGTGGTGTAAAGTTGGCGGTGTCATTGCTGAGAATAAATTACTTGTGAGTAACATATTATTATGAAAGGGTGAGGAGGCGAAATGTTTTAATATAAAAGGTGTTGAATGGGAAATTGAAGCCAAATTGGGGGAGAAAATCGGAGAAGGGTACTACGTACCTGTCTGCAGCAACCTCGAAGCTAGTTCAAACTAGTGGGAGGTTGTGTGCATAGAAGCGCAGAGTGAGAAAGAGAGAAAGAGAGAAAGAGAGAAAGAAAGGATCATAAAATATGGCTCGCGGAAAGGTTCAGGTGAAGAGAATTGAGAACCCAGTGCACAGACAGGTTACCTTCTGCAAGCGCCGAGCTGGTCTTCTCAAGAAGGCTAAGGAGCTCTCTGTGCTGTGCGATGCTGAAATTGGTCTTTTCATTTTCTCCGCCCATGGAAAGCTCTATGAACTCGCCACCAAAGGGTCATTTTTCTTATCTCTCTCTCCATGCATCTTCTCACACACCTTCGTCTCTGACTTTTCATCTTTCATTTATCAAAGAACCATGCAAGGGCTGATTGAGAGGTACATGAAGTTCACACGAGGGTCTCTACCTGAAGCACCACCACCTCAACCACCTCCTCTGGTACATAACATCTTTCTCTCTCTCTGCTGCTATGGAATTGGTCTTTTCGATGCTGTTTGCACTGTGAATTATTGAACCATTAACGAGGGAATATTTGTTGGAAGTCCCACCTCAAATATTTCCTCCACTTGTTCTTCTTAAATGGTTTTATATTCACACGTTAACTTCCTTTCATTCTTATCCGAGTCAAGAACTTGACTCGTCTCAAGTTTTTATCTTGAGTCAAAACTTCTTCAATTGTAAGATGTAGCTTCACAGCATGCTACATTACATTGCACTTTCTTTTTCATTTTAAAAAATCTTTCAATACCGCACTAACACTATTTATGCACTGTATTCTTCTGTATTTTCAGAAGAGTGGTTATTATAACAATTAATATATGTGCAACACCTGCAACTTTTACATTAACTTTGTAACTGTTTTGTATTGAATGTCTTGCTCACTTCATTCATTGCATAATTGTTGTATAGGATGCAAAGGAGGAATCTACCCTGCTAAAACAAGAAATCCAAACTTTGCAAAAGGGTATCAGGTAATAATATTTATCATCTTCAAAATGTTACAATATTATATATACAATTCAATTAGAAAAACAAATTAGAATAATTTCTTAGTTTTGTCTTCTATCTAGATATATATTTTTTTAATTTGACTAACAAGTATTAGGATTATTCTGTTATATCTAACATTTTATTTTAATTTTGTCATTAACTAGTAATAATTAATTAACTTAGTTAGTCTATAGTAATGAACTAATTATGATAGTTATATTTTTACTTCCAACTATTTTTATAGCTGGTTTTGCATTGCAGGTTTTTAAGTTAAATCTAGAATTGTAAACATGATAATTCAAATATTTTTGAGCACCCTACTTGTCTTAAAATCATGTGAAAGTGAGTTAGAAATATATAAATGTGGTTTGTTCTATTTTTGTTCTTGTTTTGTTGGTCAAGGGTAATTCAAATATTTATTTTGTGTGCGAGAGTTGTATAGAAATCACCTACACCTTTTAAAAATGAAAAGTCTTCTTATGAAATGATTTTTGGTTTGTAGTCCTGAATTTACAAATCTTAGAACTTTTGGTTGCTTAGCTTTTACTGATACTCTAACTTCAGATAAAACAAAGTTTGATAAAAGGTAAGATTATATATACAAAGCTTTAGTCAAAGATAGGGGATGAATTTCTTTAAAACTTTCTCTTCTATACCCCACCAACTGATACTTATGAAGTTTCTCTTATTTATTATTATTTATAATAATTGGATATTGAGAATCCATTTTATTAATAATATATTTAAAAAATATTTAAATAATATTTTTTTAAAATTTATTTATTTAATCACATCTGTTTATTATTTACACACAAAATTTAATAATAAAAAATAAACTTTTCTCACATAATATAATTATTATTCTCTCTTTTTTTCATTTATTTTTTTATTTGTTCTCTCTTCTAATTTATTTAATTTATTTATTGTTAGTGTTTTTTTTATCTGTCCTCTTATTTTGTTCTTCTCTCACTCTATCTTATTATTTTAATTAAAAATACTAAATTTAATTTTGATAAAATGGAAATTATTCAAAAGTACTATCATTTAATATATTATATTTTAAAAAAATTATATAATAAATTTGATAACTAGATTAAAAATTTAAATATTTATTTTAAGTAACTTTTTTAATAAATATTCTTTTTAAATTACCTTAATAATCATCATTACTCAATCTAATTGTAGTTAAATTAAATTACTAAATAAAAATATATTTATCTCATATTTTTTAATTAGATAAGTAATTGTTTATTATAATAAAATAATTTTAAATTAATTATTTACATCATTATAAATAACTTTTTTTACTATCATAATAAATAAAATTATTTATTGTCATCATAAATTGATATTTTTTTAGTTTTAATGTTGATTTTTAAAAAATTAATTTAATATATTTCTATTAAATTTGAGTATAGTAGTTTTAAGTACAAGAATAATTAAGAGAGGAGAGAGAAAAATAAAATACGTGGGATAGGAAAGAAAAATAATGAGTGAATGAAGGGATAGAAGAAAAAAATATAAGGAAAAAAATGATATATAAACAGAAACAGGTCTATCTTAATAAATATATTGGTAAAAATTTTATTAGAGTATTTTTTATTTTAAAATGTATTATTTATAGAATTGATTATCAGTGGACAATAATACTATTTTCGTGGAAACTCAAGGAGGTTTAAATGAGATAACCTCATGAAGTGATCGTTCCTAACCCTAATTGTGTGCGCAAGCTTTAAAGATTTCTATATGAATTAAAGCAAACGAGTGTAATCATAAGATTGGTTCAACTCCTTTCTATCTGTTACTGTTCTAGTCAAAATCCTATTCTATATACAAGCTTTAAAAATTTCTATATGAACTAAAGCAAGTAAAAGCATAAATTTTGGTTCAACTCATTTTTATTTGTTACCGATGTAGTCAAAAGTTACTAAAAACTTAGAAATCAATATTAAAGAAGGACAATAAAAAATTTAGCTATTTCTAATGTTAGAAGTTACTTTTATCTAGTTAATTCATCTTTTACTTAACAGTCTAATGTTATACGTTTTTAGTGGTTTTATTTTTGTTTTGCTAGATTTGTTGCAGCAATCCCTTACTGTAAATAATTTATTTATGGTGATATGATATTTAAAAAAAAATTACTTTTTTATAGATTGGATATTGACTCACTAGACTAATAAAGGTCCGAATATCTTGAAACACTACAAAAATCATTCATCCTCAAAGTAAAAATATTTAAACTTAAACTCTTGTCCAAAAATCATTAAAATATTGATGACTTTCATCAAAATAGGTCGGCCATCAAATCCTGGTACTATATAGCTGTTTTGTCTTAAGACCAAAACATTAAGCTTAACATTTTGGTCACCAACTTAATTAGATTCAATCTTGTAGATGGGGTTTGAAAATACCACCCTAGAAAAACTAATTGATGCTTTGCTTTTGGGTGGAAACATCACAACACATGTCATTAAACAATTTTTAAGTTTCCTAAATGTTTTGTATTTTGAACAACTAAAGGTTTTTGAATCCTTTAGTTAATTTTCTATTTGTTTTAAACTATTAATATCTTACTACTAGTTATTTATGTTATCCTTATACGAGGATTAGATTTTAGTCAATTTTAACTAATACAAAGTAACAAAACTTATAGTAATATACTAAACTTACATATCAATTAAAATATTACTGAATAAATATATGTAATTTAGATTTTTATAATGATTCACTTTTTGAGTAAGAATAGGATTAATGAAGACCACACAATGGATCATATAAGTTAATGAATTGATTAAATATAATTACACAATAAATTACTTAAAATCATGAATTATGTTAAAAACAATCACTCCATAGATTATATGGGATCACAAATTAGATGACCAAACAATGGATTTTAGTTACATTTAGATCAAGATATAAAAATATTTCATTTCAATTGTTTTCTTAGGTTATCAACTAACGAATATTTCCACAAAAGCACTTTATCTAAAGGTGTTAAAGTGAGTCAACCTAACTTTCATGGGTTAGCTCACTACGGACTGAGTTGAAAATATGTGAGTTCAACTCGACTCACTTTATAGCAAACCAGAAATTTCACAAAGTTGGGTCTTTTTTCTTTATATGTGTTCAGTTTTCTCATTTTTACTTATGTGAGATTTAGACTCATATTTGGATTATCCAATAATGACCTTTATCATTATTCATCATAACAAGATATGTTTACCTGATTCACTAGTGAGACTTAGACTCACACTTGAATTTGGGTTGAAGTGGTGTCAATCTCTTATGTGGACGGACTCATATGTTATTGGTGTTGTTTCTCCCCCGTTAATCCCTTGAAAGACCCAACACACAACCCGACTCAACCCACTATTAGGTCTTTCGAGGGAGGATTAATTGGGAAGAGCACAACACCGATGAGACATAAGTCTAACCCACATAAAGGATTGACACCATTTTCAACAAAAAATCTTAATGCATTGGGTTATGGGTCATACTTCTTTATATGTTGTTCAACTTCCTCATTCTTACACAGTGTGAGACTTAAAATCACACTTGGATTACTCAACACCCACTATGAGTTGGTGGGTTATGTGATTTGATTCACTAACCCATATTTATTTATTTTTTCTTCAATTTAAGCACGACTGAATTGCGGGACTGAAACGTAGTGGTACAATGACACGACAAACGCTATGACAAGATGAATGCAGTGACACGACAAACATGAGACCGAAATGTAATGGTGCAGTGACATGGTGACACGACAAACGTTGTTATACAACTAAAATGTGTGACTGAAATGCGATAAACATTATGGCATGACAAACATTGTGGCACGACAAACGTTGTGCACAGTGGCACAATAAACGTAACAAACATAGTGATACAATGGTGCAACGAACGAATAAAAAATGACCTAAGTACATCAACAAACGTATTGGTGTGACAAACAACTAATGACAAACCTGAATATGAGTTTGACTTGTAATAGCGACGTGGGATAGAGGTGGAGAGACAATATAACATTAAGTAGGATTACTAAATTATTATAAATTTTTTAAAATTTAAAATGAATGGTTGGTTACAGATCAACTTACGATAACTCTAACCTACTATGTGAGTCAGATTCATTTTTAACCTATTATCAATAAACATAAAAAAAAATCAAATATATAATTAGCTAAGTTTATCCATAGATTACAAGACAACCCTACTTATATCCAAATTCTTTCCAACAAAAAAATTATTTAACATCGTAACTCACGATCAGTGCAGATCTTCTTGGGAGCTGAGGTGGGCCACGACCCCCAAAGTTTTGTAACTCCCATGTAATTTATGATTTTGGCCCCCATAAACATAATGAACATTTAATATATTTACTTGTATATTTACAATTTTATACTCTCATCTCCTCCTCAGTTTTGTAACTCTCATATAATTTATGATGTTGTTCCCCTCAAATTTAATGATCATTTAATATATTTAAGTATATATCTATAATTTCATCTTTTCACCCTTTCATCTTCTTTCTTCCTTTTGTATTTATTTATTAATAATATATTATTTGGCCCCTAAGATCAAGATCCGCCACTGCTCACAAGTATCAAGTATTATGATTATTCTATTCATACCTATCCAACATTTTATTTTTTCTATTTGTCCGTGACCAACATAATAGTTTGGTCTATTTGATTTCTTTTTTAGCATAGGTTAATAATTAACTTAATTAATTTATCAGTTTTTGATTATGATTGGATGAGCTGAAAGTTAACTTTGTTCATTAGTTAGTTAAATTTTAGTTAAACTATTTTTATAGTTGATTTGGTAATTCTTTTGTGTATTGATAAATGAATTAATATGTACAAAATTTCAAAAACTAAATTCTTACTTTCTTCATAATGAAATCAGTTTGCAGTGTTTTTAGCCTATTCTTAGAATAAAATTAGTTTGTGCATACAAAAACCTCTACAATTAACTAG